CTTTCGCTCTCTCTCCATCCCTCAGACACACATTCTGCACATACAGAGACCCATACGACACTGAAACACACAGGCTATCATGTACACATCACCATGCATATAATACACAGAGAGTCACATGATATGCAGGCATGTGCACACAACCTTATGTACATTCATACACAAACACAGGTGTTTTCTCCCAGAGACACACAGAATCAAATTCATGGATACATACAGAAAGGAGGCGCACCGCACATGCACCACCATATATACGTATCTCACACCACATACACAGAGAGAGACAGAGACACCACATATGCACATGCTTATGTACATTCATACACAAACACAGGTGTTTTCTCCCAGAGACACACAGATTGAATCAAATTCATGGATACATACAGAGAGGAGGCGCACCGCACATGCACCACCATATATACGTATCACACCACGTACACAGAGAGAGACAGAGACAGAGACACCACATATGCACATAGGTTGTGTGTAACCTCAGACCCTGGGCAAGGCCTTCTCTGGGCATCTAATGAGCTTCCCAGGCAGATCTTCATCTCTGTAATACTGTGCTGAGGGTCACATCGCCTGTCTGTGAGCCTGTGATGCTGCCCACAGCCTGGGAAAGAATCTGTGAATGGAATGAGATCAGCCCTTGTGTCATGGACGGGTGCTACAGCTGTAACTTTCCTAATGGGCGTGACTCATGCACCTTGGATGCCAGAGGTCTCCCATGCTGGGTAGCTGTAGGAGGGGGCTGGCCTGGGGGCTTGGATTAGACCTCAGGCCACTTCTTGGCTCATCACTGCCCACGTGTCTTGGTGGCACGGGTTCTGTGGGATGATGGGTTGTAAAAGATCCAGGCTGGAAAATATAATCCTGCCCCTGATGGCTTTCCTTCTGCTCCGCGTAGAGGAAACTGGAGCCAAATGCCATCACTCTAGGGTACATACTTTCCAGTGCCTTGCAGGACCTGTGGAGTGGGGCCTGGCTTTGGAGCCTGAAGTCTGTGGCAAGAGTCATGAATCCCTGGGCATCCAAATAATGGCTCTGTTGAGTCTCTTGGTTCATTTGCATTCCTGCTGGACAGGCTCAGGGCACTTGAGTCACCAGAGCTCCCCTTCTAGTCTGGCTCTTACCAGCCCTGCCTCTGCTTCCCTGACCTCACTCAGAGAGTGTCTCACACTGTATCTCAGGGTAGTCTGAGAAGGAAATTAGAATCAACTGGTTTTCTCATCTGTAAAATGGGAATGGTAGCAGTAAACTACATGATCCTGCTTGGGGGTTAAGTAAGAAGATGCGTGTAAAGCACTTGGCATAGGGTTCAGTGACGCTAAGCACTGTTAGCAGCTAATATACATTGCAGTTCATGGTATCTGTAGGAAGATAACTGGGGACACCAAGCAGGGCAGGAGGCCTCGGTGGAATCAGCCAAGAAAGGCCACATCTGTATGTGAGAGACAAAAAGGAGCCTATCGAGGGGCAAGATGAGTGCTTCAGACAGGGCTCCCTGGTGGCAAGATCATCATCTGGCTCTGTGGCAGATGGATGGGGGCAGGGATTCTGTTAGAGAGTATTGCAAGAGCTGGCAGTAGCTTCAGTAGGGCAGGGAAAAAAGAGGGGTCAGCGCCAGGAGTGATAGAGTCGGTATTTGGGAGCTGATGTGGCACACTTGGAGAAGCATGAACAAGTCAGTGTAACTCTGGAGAGTTACCCCTTTCTTCTCAGCATGGTGGCTAAAGGCCTCCCTCCTTTTGAATCCCTGGCCCCTGGTGTAGGAGTGATGTAAGTACATTCCAACTGAATGTCAGGGAACGTGGTGGGGTAGGGGGAGATGCCATGCATCAGGAAGGAGAGGCCTCTTCCCACTCTTCCCACCAACCTTTTTCCACTTCCTCCAGAAGGGTCCCGAGAGTGGCTCCTCAACCCCAACCCAAACCTCTACCCGACTGATTCAGGAAGATGAAGGGGGCTTTCCAGTGGTCCCGAAGCATTCAGAATCTTGCCCTGCTACAGCCAAATAATTGTCCCCAACCCTGTTTACCTGCCTGATACCAAGATGTGGGGTCCCTTGCATGTAACATGCACAACACTGGGTGGCCCCACCTCTTTCCCCTGCAAGACTTGTGTCCTCTGCTGTACCTCTGGGGCTCCAAATGGAAGAATGGCACTGCCGGGGTATGAAGTAGCATGCAAGGCAGCACCAGTGGTTTCCGGAGGTCCATCTCTTGGTAACTCCACACACAGGCATGCACACATACTTGCTCATAGACTTGCATGTATACATACTTGCTCATAGACGTGCATGCACTCATACATGCTCAAGCGTTTGTATGCCCACACTGTGGAGTAAAATACAAAATCCAAGATATTGAAAGAATATGTTCTCTCTCATGCTTTGATATTTAAGGTCCACATAAGAAGAATCTGCTTCCTGTGGCTCCTCAGCTTCTTTGGTAGAACATGGGGGACCTCATGGGGCCCTTCTAGTATTCTCTGAGTACTCCAGGTCACCCTCAGTTCTTGTAGCCACACTACTCCCTGTGCATAACACTTTGTAACTGAGGTTTATGCCACATACTTATTGGGAGTGTCTGGAGCCTCCTCTGCAGAACCTGAGACAGAGGCAGGCCAGTAGAGCTCAGCCACCGTGGTACCTGAGGAAGGAATCGATGCTTGGCACCTCTCCAGGGCCAGACTAGTGTTATAACTGATGTCTTTCCACATCTCCTTCACAGAGCTTGAATATCCAAGTGGAAGACATCCGGATTCGCCCCATCCTCTCTGCCTTCCGCCATCGCAAACCAGTGACTGAGGGCTATGTGGAGGTAAAGGAGGGCAAGGCCTGGAAGCAGATCTGTGACAAGCACTGGACGGCCAAGAATGCCCACGTGGTCTGCGGCATGTTTGGTTTCCCTGCAGAGAAGACATACAACCCCAAAGCCTACAAGTAAGAGGGCAGGGCTAGCAGTGGGGGAGCTTCCTGGACTCCTGGTCTCCTTGTGGGGTCATCGGCAGTCCTAGCTAGTGATGGGCTTTCCTGCCTGCTAAGCCTTGCTTTTGAGCAGCTCACACCCCAATGAGAAGCAAGTTAGATGACTGAATTAACATAGAGCACAGTGAGGCACAAAGTGCCCCAGCCCTGGGAATTTCCACCGTTGGTTCCAGACAACTAGCTGGGAACCAGGAACCACATAGACTGTGTACGGGTAGTACACAGGCTAAGCAAGGATAGCACTGAGTTAAGAAATGTTTGAAGGGCCAGTGAGATGGCTCAATGAGTAAAGGCACTTGCTGCCAGGATTGACCACCTGAGTCCAGAACCCACATGGTAAAGAGAACCAACTTCCACAAGTTGTCCTCTGACTTTCACGTGGGCACCATGGCACACATACACACAAAAAATAAATAAATGAAAAAATATTGAGAAATGTTTGAGAAATCTAGAAATTGCAGCCATCATGAGATCATTGAGAAACTGGTCAGCTCATTTTAGGATATCCCAATAGGACCTCACAGTCCTGTCAGCATCTCCAGGGTTACTATTGCCCTGGAAGAAAGTAGTGATGGGTTTAGAGATGTCCAACCTGGCAGGTGCCCAAGGAAAGGATTTCAGTACCCTGGTGAGCTATTGGTAGGTGTACAGTTGTGCCTTGGTATTCTTGGAGTATGGTTCACAGAACCCCTCCTACATACCAAAATCAGGGGACAGTATGGTCCCTCATGTAAAATGCTATGGAATTTGCATAGACCCCACACTCATTGTACTGTATATTCTTAAATCATACCTAGGTAACTTATAATACTGGATGCTGTGTTGGTGCTGTGGAAATCATTGTCATACTGTATTATTTAGGTAATAAGGACAAGAAAAATGTCTGTACATGATCAGAACAGACACCTCTTGTTTCTAAGTAGTTTTCAATCTGTGGTTCATTAAATCTGAGGATAGAGCTCCCAAGAATACCAAGGACTTGTTGACTTTGATTGATAGTGGGGTTTTCCTGTCTCTTTTACTTAGTTCTGATATCAGCTTCTGCTCACTGAGTGTTCACTATGTGTCAGGAGGACACTGGTTGTTGTCACTTGATGCCACCAAGAAGTAGTGATCTATTTTAGAGTTGAGAAAAGTAGAGTGAGGTAATAGAGCCGCTAAGGAGAGACTCAGGCTTCAAACTCAGGTCCAGCCACAGGGTCAGCACCCCAGAGTATTCACTCAGAGCACTAATTCTTTCCTGGCATTGAGGTCAGCATCTAGCCCTACCTCCAGCTCCCCATGGTGCAGAGCAAGCCACATCCCTCCCTGGGTTTCCATACTTTGGCCTGAGCCTCCAGCCTGCCACACAGAGTCCTGGCAGCACTCTGGGGGAGAATCATGGTGGTGTGTCTCATTCACCGGGTCCTCAGAAAGGCTCCAGACCTTGTTGGCATCAGGAGTCCCATCTTCTGAGTACTCTGGGGGACTCCCACCAGCTGGGTGGCTCATTCTCCAGTGATGTGTGTTTTCTCTATCAATGGAAACCAGGGAAAAGAAGGCCCTCCCTGATTAGCCTTTCTACCTGGTGACTCCCCCTAGAATCCCCAGCCTGCTTATTCAGATGGTATTTGAAAGCTGCCCCCAGCTGTGTCCTGTGTACAGAGTCCCTCTCCTCTCCTGAAGGAACAATCTAAGGCAAGTGTTGGCCGGTAATCACCTTGTGTGCTGGGTTTGACCCACCCCGTCTCTTCAATCCTAGCAACTATGGTTTTTGCCTTTTCAAATGGAAGGAAGAAAAGTTCTCAAAGGCCAAGAAATATGCAGGGTTCTGGTAGCAGGCAGCACTCTGCTTGTGATGTCAACAGGAATTATTGGAACCACAGCCTCTTCCAACTTTCCCGGCAAACAGGTGGGAGGGTGCAGAACTCTCTCTACATGCGTCTCAGAGGGAAAACGTTGCTTCTGAGCCTTGGTATGCCTCTGGGGCTGAGCTAGCAGGGGCTGGATGGAACTGATGGCAAAGAACCAAGTACTGGGAGCATTGCAAGGCCTCAGGGTCACTGGCCATTCCTCAGTCTGTCGTGGAAGAAACAGAATCCTGAGGACCAAGGACTTGGGTCACACCACCCACTCCTACAGCTGCTCCAGCGACAGCTTCCCCATCCAGCCTCACACCAGCCTCCGCCTGGTAGCTGGGGCTTCTTGGATACAGGACCAGCTCAGCAGGGCTGAAATGGGGCTGATCTCAGGGTAGGGGTGTCTGTGAGCCCTGATCAAAGGTGACTGCAAGCCTGCCTGGTCCCTGAATTGGTAGCTCCTGGTATTTTCCCTTCTCCCTTCCCCTTTCACAATTCCTAACGGTCCTTGGCTGCTTACTAACATCATAGCCTTGAGGTGTGACAAGTGGCCTCCATTCAGGCCTAAGGCTCTAGGAAGATGTTGTCAAAGTAATCCTCAGTCTGTCTATAGCAATCTGTTATATCTGAGGCCCCTAGTGGGCCTGCAGCCTTGGAAATACCCCTGGCTAGTTCATCACCAAAGGCCCTTTCACCTTGGAACCTCCCTACTAGTCCTCCAAGGCCACCCCCTCTGCTAACCTGCAGGACTCATGGACACTCACAAGCCTGAGTTACCCTTGGCCCCAGAGGCTTTACTCCCCCATTGCTAACATGTACCCTCAAGGCCTCTCTGCATCCATAATCTCACATCATGTACAGTCAGCTTATTTCTCCCCTGCCCTGGCTTCTCCCTTGGGCGGGGGACCATGTATATACCCCGAGGCTTATGAAGTTTATGCCGCAGCACCGTATTGCCAGGGTGAATGGCACTTCTTTTGTATGAGGGGGTTCATGTGTGTATATGGGTGCATGTGCACTTGTGTGTGTGTGCATACGGAAGCCAGAGGTCAACCACAGGTGTCATCCTTTTGGGCACCATCCACCCTCCTTTGAGACAGGTACTTCATTGGCCTGGAGTTTGCCAAGTAGGCCAGGCTGACTGGCGGTGAACCTCAGGGATCTGCCTGTCTTGCTCCCCCAGCACTGGGATTACAAGTGTGATTACAAGTGTGCACCACCACTTGGGTATTGGGGATGGAACTCCTCATGCCTGTGCAGCAAATGCTTTGTCGACAGAGCTGTCGCCCCAGCTCCATGTCTTCTTTTTTATTGAATTTTTGTGTATTTCATACAGAACATCTCAATCAGTCTTAATCCCCTTTCCCACTGGCACCCTCCCATAGCCCCCACTGGAATTCATACACTCTGTCATTTGTGTTAAAGCTATTATGTCAAGTTAGTATCCCCAGATGTTCCTCAGTGCAAGTTCATCTACTGAGGTCTAGTCAGCCTATCTAGAGTCCCTTGCTTTTGGAAGATCAGCTCTTCTTCACCCAGCAGTAATCAGTTGCCAATAGTTCCTCAGCTAAGGTTGGGGCCTGCTGTCCATTTCCCCAGTTCTATGCTGGGTCTTTGTCTGCTTGAGTTTGCATGGGTCCTGTGCATGCTGATACCATTGCTGCAGATTCATATGAGCAGGGTCCCAGAAGCTTGTAGAACTCTATTTCCATATGGTCATGCATCTCCTCCCTGGTTCTTATAATCTTTCCTCCCCCTCTTCCACAGTGGCCCCTGAGCCCTCGTTGAGTGAAGTTTAATATAAGAGTCCTGTCCAAGGACCAGCATTCTGCAGACTCTTAAACTCTACACTTTGGTCATTTGTGACCTTTAGTGTTCCTGGCCCTTTGTTGCTTGAGGGAGCATGCCTTCACTTTTTTTAATATTTCATTTATTATTTTTATGTGTATTGAGTGTATTACCTGCATGTATGTGAGTGCACCCATGTCGTGCAATGCCGTGGAGGTCAGAAGAGGGCTTCAGAGTCCCCTGGAACTGTAGTCAAGGACAGTTCGTAGCCACCATGTGGGTGCTGGGATCGAACCCGGGTCCTCTGCAAGAGCAGTCAGTGCTCTCAACCACTAAGCCATCTCTCCAGCCCCATGTCTTCATTTTTTTAAAGCAGGTTTTCAATTGTGACATTGATGTATTGATCCAAACTTGGCAATTAGAAAAGGCTGATAGCAGTTGCTTCGTGACCCTCAACATTATGAGTGAGTTAGAAGTTCTTGGCCCATCTTGATCTAATGTAAAGGAAGGAATGCAAAGGCTGTGGGGCAGGGGGGTTAGACCCTTTGCTAAAGTAGATTATCATTTTAGACCTACTCTCTCATGCTGGGAGGATCTTTAAGCACACTTTTTCCCCAGATTGTGAGGGGAGTTTTGTATGCTTCTCTACGTGCCACAGCTCACAGTATGGACAGCACCACTGAATGGGAAAGCTAAATGCGCTGGGAACAATCCAGGGGTGGCGGGGCCAAGTGATAGTGATCAGCCACCAAAGATGAGGAGATGTGGTTCTGTTAAGGAGCATTAGAACCAACACAACCTTCAGAACATTAATATTTCCACTCCTGCAGACTTTGGCCTTGGCTCCGTTGATCATGGTGTTCCTAGAAAGAAGACCAGAGGCTGACTAAATACTTCCTTTGATTGTCCTAACAGACAAGCTCTAGGACAAGTGAGAAGTCTAACCTGAATTGTAACATGGGCCACAGTCTCTTAATTCCAAGAGTTGGATCAGTTTACAGACCCAGAATCCCCAGAATGAAAAGGGGGTGTACCCCTTGAGGGAGGACCTCGGTACTCTGCCAAAACCTTGTACTGTTTTCCTTTCTCCCAACCTTCCCCAAAGGGACCCTTTACCACAATGACTATGCATACAGAAGGAAGAAGTCATCAGACCTTTCAGGCATATGGGACACTGGCTCTGAACTGACCCAAACATATCTATGACCCAACAGTCGGAGGAGTGTTATGGTGGAGTTTTAGCTCGAGTCCTTCTCACATAGACCAGTAGGTCCCCAGTCCTCCTGGTGATTCCCTCAGGTCTGGAAAGCATAATTGGAACACACACACTCCACAGTTGGCAGGATCTCACAAAATCTAGCTTTCCCCTTGACTGGGGAGAGCCACTGGGATTCTCCATGCTTTCTGAAATAATTCCAGCTCAGTAACTGCTGCAGCTCTGCCGGCTTCCAGCCTGGCAGAAGGCTACTCCCAACCTCAGTCACCCCTCCCATGTCCAGGCCTGGGGTGAGTTGTCCTCCCCCTCCCCTACACCTCACATCTACATCCCTCCCTCCAACTGGGTCAGTCCCTCTCTGAGGATGGGGGTGGGGTGGGCCTCTGGCTGCCAGGGAGGACTGTGGAGGGTCTTAGTGGACGCACATTCCTGAGCACTGATGTAAGGTAGAAGCTGGACTGCCTGGGGAACAGTAGAGCAGGTCTGGGGCAGCCCCTGACTGCTGGTGGGGGTGCTGTTCACTGACAGCTGGAAACAGATGGCGCTTCCTAAGCCAGCAGTGGGGTCAGTGTGCTCTGACCTCAAACAGCTCATGTTCCCCTTAGTGTATTCTCCCACCCATGTCCAGGAGGGAGGTGAGGTTTCCCAGTGCAGGGGCCTTACAGGAAGTGGGGAGGGGGTAGTGGCTCTGGAATTAATAATAGTTCTCTTGTGGAAGTCTCTACTGTATGATGTCACTGTGGTAAGCACACATCCCGAACGCTCCAATATAGTTTGTGTTTCAAAGATCCCAGTGGTTGCACCCATAGGTATGCTAGAATTGCTACAAGACACATACTTTGGTAAAGAAATCAGTAAGATTTTCCCTTCCTTTGTGTTCACATACCATTCACTCCAAGACAAAGCAGATTCTTCCAAGGAGGCTGGGCCACATCTGCCCTTCCCAGGTTGGCTGCTCAGAGATACTCCTGTTACAATACTGTTGTGTCTCGGCTATCCCCTCCAGGACTTAAGTTGATTTCAATTAACAGTACTAGGAAGTTGCACCTTCAAGAGGTGATAAGTCAGTCCTTAGGAGCTGTGTCCTGAATGGATTGATGCTATTCTCATTGGACTGGCTTAGTTATCTTACTGGTTGACTATTGTTTTAAGGAAAAAGTTTTATCAACCTTAATCCTTTAACGACTGACTATTCTGCCTTTAAAAGAAAAACAAGGAGAGGTGGTGCCTATAATCCCAACATGTGGGAGGCTGAGGCATGGCTGGGTTCTGGGAGCTAGATATGCTAGATGGATGGAATCCAGCGGTGGCAGGATACCCTGGTCACCTACCCTTTCCTGCCCTCTGCAGAACCTTTGCCTCGAGAAGGAAGCTGCGCTATTGGCGCTTTTCCATGAACTGCACGGGTACCGAGGCTCACATCTCCAGCTGCAAGCTGGGCCCACCGGTGTCACGGGACCCTGTGAAGAACTCCACCTGTGAGAATGGGCAGCCAGCTGTGGTCAGCTGTGTGCCTGGCCAGGTCTTCAGCCCTGATGGACCCTCAAGATTCCGGAAAGCTTACAAGCCAGAGGTGAGAGCCGGGCAGGGGGTGTGGGCACTTGGCTGGTGGCAGGGGTAATGATTAGAAAAGGGAATAGGAGAGAGAGAGAGAGAGAGAGAGAGAGAGAGAGAGAGAGAGAGAGCGCTGACCCCAGCTGAGACTGCCATTGTTGCTGCCTCACTTAAAATCAGAGTCCCCTCTATGGAGGGCAAATAAATCTCTGGGCAAGGAGATCACCCTGTTGTTGTCATCACAGGCACCTTAAGCTCTGCCCATCGACCAGCATGAGCCAATGATGTGGGGTAGCCAGGTAGGGACCTTGTGGTCCTACATAGTTCTTGTCAGAGAAAGCATCTAGGATTTGGGAACTGTAGGAGGTAGGATGTGACTCCCCAAGGCATATGATGACAACTGTGTTGTTTCTAACCTGTTTTGGTTTATTAGACAGCAGAAAAGATAACAACTGCAAAGTTTCCACCAGCTAGAAAACCTGCCATTATCCTGCTCTAGCCATCCAGCCACTGGCCACATTGTACTTACCTTGGTGTATGTGGAGGGTGTGTCAGAATGAGAGAGCACAGGGGGTGGGGCTGGGTTTCCTCCCATGCAAATTAGCTCCTCCATTTCAACTGGCTGATTCCCCAGCACAAATTAATAATCCCAAATAGGGACTGACCTTCTGAGATAGTATCCCCATTCTGTCACCCTTCCAAAATCATGAAGAGGCTCTCCTGTTTCCATAATTCCACCAAACAGCAGTCCTGCCATGTGTGTGTGTGTGTGTGTGTGTGTGTGTGTGTGTGTGCGTGCGCGCGCACACGCACGCAGACGTGCATGTGTGGGTGGACGTTCTTGAAACTGCTGGTATAGGGCAGCTGGATGAGAACAGGACCTGGGAAGAGGAGGGAGAAAGGAGTTGATCATTGATTGGGGTTGAATCATGGGTCTCATAAAACCTCAGTCATGGATTGAGTCCCCAGGCCAAATGAAACCTGGGTACTTCAACATCACATTGGCAGGGTGAGTTCTATGCCAGGGGAAAGAATGATTGGAGGAAGGTTAGTTGGTAGAGCATCAGACCAATGCCTGTGTCTCTTCTCCCCTCTCCCTCCTGCCCCATCCTTCATCCTTTGCCTCACCCTCCTCTGAAGGTACCTCACAGAGATAGGAAACTGGAGGAAGGGGAAGCTCTGACAGTCCATGATGGGTGCCTCCCCCAGGCTGGGAGCTGTGTGGATGAAAGTCCTGGAGCCTTAAATGAGAGGAGTGCAGTGCATGCTGAGAGTCCATCCTTCAGCCCAGGGTGTAGTACTGATTTGGAGAGACCTTTTGACTTTCTGACGCTTCTGGAAAGTGAGCTTGGCTTCCTAGGTTCCCTTGAGGTCTTGGAAGTGCACCATGACCACACCATTAGACATCTGCAGGCCAGTGCTGGACAATGCTATTTCTGAGCCCTCCTAAACCTGCCCTGCCCCCAGCCCTCATTTCCTCTGCCATGTGTTTGGATGGCCTCATTCTACCACCAACCTCCCTCCTCCCCTCCCCACACTGAGCTTTCTTCAATGTGTCATCCAGAGTACCAGATCCTACTGTTTTGGAATTCCTCCGCTGTACTGTTAAAAGTAACCAATTCAAGTTCATACCAAAGCAGTGAACGAAGCAGGAGGCTGACCTCACATTTTCCTTGGTTTCTGTTTTCACTCCAGGGCCAGCTGGCTCTCTATCTGGCCACTTCCAGGGGCTGTGGCTAGGCTATCTGACACTCTGTCTCCATCCAGCTGAGGTCATGATGGTGTCTTCCTAGGAGTATGAGGGGTCCCCACATCCCACTTCCCGCTAGGCAGCTTAGGAAAGGGGTCACAGACGGTCACAATTCCACAGAAAACAGAGGCTGTAACCAGTTATTTTATTCACTATGCTCTGCTTTTTAAAGTAAGAATAAAAGTTCCTGAAGCCACTGGTTGCTTTACACTCACCTACCTTCCATTACTTTTCCCACTAGTGCTGAACTCAGCAGTCGGGGGTGAGGGGCAGGGATCTGTAAATCTGGGTGGTATCACAGCACCCTGTCCTGAGAGCTGTGAGGCCAGCCTGAAGGTGCTGATGTGAAGAGTGAGAGATGGCAGGAGGATGGAGAGAGGAGTTCTTGCACGGTGCCTTGATCCTCCAGGTAGGCGTGAATATGAAGGCCTGAAACATACCACCTTCAGCTAGGCACTCCTCATCCCCGCCAACAGTGGGTGAGCTGAAGGAAGTCACAGGCTGAGGACAGCATAGGCCATGATAGACAAAGCACTGTGCTCCCATCTGACTGCAGTGGCTGCACAGTCCCCCGATAAGCATAAGCATGACTCAGAGCCTCAAAGACTTCTGAGCCTCCCCAGTACACACACACACACACACACACACACACACACACACACACACGCATGCACGCACGCATGCACGCACACGCACACATACACACGCGCACACATGCACGCATGCATGTACATACATCCATACACACACAAACGTGTACACACACTAGACATTGGGCTTGCACATACGGGTATACACAACCTGTGCATGCACACACAGAAACTGATGCAGACCTGTGTGTGTGGACAGGTGGAGCCATCTCCTGTCCTATAAGACATAATCCATTGACTTCATGGAGCTTGTAGGGGTGGGTCTTACTTCTGTATAAGTCCCAGAAGGGGATTGGGGTTTCCAGACAGTGAGTAAGGATTGGGGGCATCTAAACAGCCACATACACCCCTCTGCCCTCTCTGCATGCCTGAGGGGCTGCGTCTTCTGAAGACTTGGACTGGGTTCAGGAAGTTTTAGACAGCTGTTGTTCTTAACTCAGGAGGTTCCCCATCCTGTATAGCATCCCTGCTCTGAGTCATGTCCTGATTAGGTCTGGCTTTCCTGGTAAGGCCCCCGCTGTCTAGTTCTGTATTGCCATTTCCTGTGGGCTCCCTCCTGCCTCCATCCTTACACACAGTGGAATCACCACTTCCTATTGGCTCCATACCAAGGGGGTGGACTGTAAAGCTCAGTTACAATCAGGAGGATTGGAATTTGTTTATAATCTACAGACTTTAGAGGTAGGAGCTTTTCTCTATAGTTCTACACTGGAAGTTTCAGTCAGGAGTGTAAGAACTTGCTGATTAGTGGGATCTGGGAGCCGAGTATGGGAGTGGCTGATGAGCTGATGAGTCTCCGATGGGTTCCCTGGTGGTGCAGGACATGGACAGAGGCACGTGAGAGGCTGCAAAGGGAGCTTGTGCCACCCCAACCCTTAACGAGTTGACCACTTTCAACTCTTAAACTGTTGGGATCTGGCAGGAAAGGAAAGGGAGTAGCCAGTGACAACTTGCAGGACCTGTCACTTCTGCACTCAGCAGGACCATGTGTCTCTCCAGCAACCCTTGGTACGGCTGAGGGGTGGAGCCCAGGTTGGAGAGGGCCGCGTCGAGGTGCTCAAGAATGGAGAATGGGGAACCGTCTGTGATGACAAGTGGGACTTAGTGTCAGCCAGTGTGGTCTGCAGAGAGCTGGGCTTCGGAACTGCTAAGGAGGCTGTCACCGGCTCCCGGCTGGGGCAAGGTAAGCACACGGGTAGCTGCGGATACAGGGCTTTTTATGGGCAAGTGTGGCCCTGGGAGCCTAGGTCCAGCTGGTAGCCTTGACCCCCTCAGGCTCCATGTACTCTGCTCCCTCCCTGCAATAGGAGCCCATCCATAGAGAATCTCAGGCCCCTCCGCAGTCAGCACCTTAGAGAACACCTAGTCTCCATTTTATGTATTTGAAAGCTGGGGCCCAGAGAAAGGATGAATGGGCAAGGTGAGATGATGGACCAGCAGCCAGGGAATACCTCAGCCCGAGTCTCTAACTCCCCACCCCACACTCTCAGCATCTCCGATGGGAAAGCCAGAATCCCAGGCCCTTCCTCCAGGAAGACCTCTGAGTGCATCAAGCAGGCCTGCGCACAGAAGAACCAAACCAGGATAGAACTTGTTTTTCTATCCTGCTACAGCCTTGTCACCATTGGCTCCCTGAGAGCAGAGAGAGGCAACAGAGTGGCCCTCTCTGATGTCATGAGATAGTCATGAGAAGGTCCTGGTTTTCATTAAGTGTCCCAATTGAATCTTTCATGCAAGCAAAGAATGAAGATTTGGGAGGCGTTCAATGGGGGCATTCTTGGAACAGTGCTGTTACCTCGGGACAGCAGATTTCAACCCCTCCCTTGTGAGCCCCATGAAGGCTACTCACCTTTGAAAGTCCATGTCCGTTAGGAACCTTCCCCCGAGACCAAACAGCTCTCTGAGTACCCAGCCCTTCCCTGGAGAAGTGTGTTTGAGAGCAGAAAAGTCAAGGTCATTTCTGGGACCCTGTTCAGCACCGACCAGCAGAAAAGCTGCTGCAGCTCATGGGCTGCCATGGTGAGCTCAGGGCTTGGGCTACAGGCAGGGGTGGAGAATACTAGGCTGTGAGGGGAAGCCATTCCTACCCATACTGTCACACACATGAAGCCATCACCCCCATGGAAAGGAATGTGGTGAGGTCATTGACTGCAGCTTGAAGGAAGTAAGTCCCCACTTGACCAGGTCCTGAAAGCCTGGTTTTTCCTCTTTCCAGTGTTTTCCTCTTGTAGGACACCAGAATCCTGGTTGAACTTAGCCTCCAGCTCAGGTAAAGAACACAGACCTCTCCCACCCTAGTGGGGCAGCTTGTCTGTCCTAGTTCAGCTGTTGGACTCCCCTGCAGCAAGCCATGCCCTTAGCTGCCCTGGGCACTCTTAAACGGTTCCCTGGGACTGAGAGGAAGTTTATGAACTGGGGACAGTCCTAAGGTCATAGACTGGCCCTGCTGGAGAGGACCTGAGGTCCTCTGGTCCATCATAGGAGGAATTTGAGGCATGGAAGAGCCCCAAAGGTCAACAGACAGACTGAAACTCAAGTCCTCTAATTCTTCTTTTGACCTCCTCAGTCCTGGTCACATTTGATCCTTTGTTGTGCAAATGTCTTGGGTGTGCACTGAAGGGTGGGCACTTTGGGATGGACTTCAGTAGCACATTGTGTTACCTGGCAGTTTCTGCTATGCCAAGTTGAAAATCTGTTCTCTTCCCTGGTCCCAGTGAGAGAGTCAGCTTTGTCAATGTTCTCACAGTCCACTGTGCTGGTTGATCCACATGTAAGTGTGTGCTTTCCTAAGGACAGGACAAGGGCCACTAATCCAGAGGCATAAACAAGCTCTTGATGACATGGACATTCCATGTGTCATGGGTGGGTGCTATGTGACCTAATTCTTTCACTATCCAGAGCAGCCAGAGGTTTACAAGTGCCTGGGGAACTCTAGGAAGAAGAGGCCTTGGGTATTTTTTGATGTTGGCCTTGAAAGCACCATGGGACGATTTATCTGCCTTATGCCACATTGTGTGGGTGACTCTAGTAGGCTAGAAGGGAAAAGTACCATGTTCAAGGACAAGTCCCAGAGCAGATAGGGTCAGTCCCTCAGTACTGGCCCTAGCTGATGGAACAAGTAACCACACCCAAACCCATGAGTAGTGAAAGGGCAGAGGCTGAGTCCTCATCCTGGGCTGGCTACTTACTTGTCTGGTGACCTTGAACAGCCTCTGGTCCAGGGATTCTTCACTGTAAAACAAGGTGGCTGAATGGGTGATATGTGAGGCTCTGTCTGGCTCCAGTGGCACCAGAATGGATGTTAGGTCATGGAAGACTCTGACCTCTGTACTTCAGGAAAGCCCCAACTGTCTGCTACAACTATGTGAGGGATGAGCCTATGTGCTTTAGCTCCTGTCTTTAGAATCTGTGCCCAACAGGTAATTCTCCAGAGATGTTCATGGAAGGAAGGAGGGAAAGAGGGAGGAAGACATTCCAAAGAGGGAAGGAGGGAAGAAGGGAGGGAGAAAGGGAGGGAGAGAGGGAAGGAGGGAGGAAGGGAGGAAGGGAGGGAAGAAGAGGAAAGGAGAGAGGAGAGACAGAGACAGAGAGAGAGACAGAGACAAAGACAGAGAGAGATTCCAGCTGGACAAGTAGGGTCAACTGAACAAACACTTGGCAAAGAAATTCCAGCCCTCTAAACCAGTACCATACAGCAGAAAAATAGTGTAAGTCACATATATAATTTTGAATTTTCTAGTAGCTATATGAAAAGCATTACAGGTCAAGTGAACTTTAATATATTTTCTTCAACCAAATATCCAAAATATTATTTCAGCTCATAATAAAAATGCTATTAAGGTTGCTTACATTTTAATACTACAACTTTGACATCCACCTATATTTTATACTTACAGCCTGTCTGTTTGGTCCCGCTACATTTTGAGTGGCTACTGGTTACTGTATCGATCAGGGCAGTGCTGCTAGAGAAATAGCTCTAAAACCCTTTTGCTCACAGTAAGAAATATCAGCGACAGGCTTGCCGTATACATAAAAACAAAGCAAAGGCTTGTGGGGAAAAGTCTCTTCACAATGTGCAAAGCACAGCATGTGCTCTTCTGTTGCACTTTCTAGACTAAAGCCTGCTTAGCTGACTCTTTAAGCCCCCCTTGAAGACCCACAGAGCTCATGACAGTGCTCCAAGAGGCTGTTCATGGCTCTTCCACCACACTGGGCTGTTCCTGGCTCTTCCATTTACAACACTGCTGCTCACCTGAACCAGGGTTTCCATGGCAGAAGAGCATTCAAGCTAGAGGTGAGGCAGGTTCTATGAAGAGGAACAGATTTAAGAAGTGGTTCAGAACTCAAGAGTTGTTGAAAGCTGAAGGTCAAGGATGTAGAAAGTCAACTCCAGGTTAGCAGAGTGAGCCAGAAGCCCACTGACACCATGGGCAGGATACAGCTGGACACCCAGAGGTCTTTAAGGACCATCTCCCCTATCCACCCCCACCTACCACAGAACTGTGTGCAGCAGGGGAGGGATGAGATGCACTGGGGCTCCCATCTCTGGACTGCCTTTGATGAGCATGAATGCTCACACGTCAGGAGGGCGAGCCTTGCTTCCAAGGCCTCTGGTCTACGTGCCTGAGAGCCATGAAGACTTTCATAGAAATTAAGCCAGAAGACTGAGCACTTGTCAGGTGGGGGCCAAAGCATGTCAGGCTCTTGAGTTAGCTGTGGACTCCCCTTTGTGCTGTGGACTGGCAGCTCTACATATCCATGGTGTTCTAGTTTCCTTTTCTGTTGCTATGATAAAATACCCTGACAAAGCAATATAGAGGAGAGAGGTTTGTTTTTGCTCAGCAACAGGCACTCAAGACAGACCAAGAGAGAAGGAATGCATGCAAGCTTACAGTCAGCTCACGTTCCCCTTTTCTATACAGGCCAAGATCCCATCCCAGGGAATGGTGCTTCCCACTTTTAGGTTAGGTCTTGTTACATCAGTTAATGTAATAAAGACAATCCCCCGCAGACATGCCAAAGTTCACCCTAACCTAGACAGTTCCTCATTGAGACTCCCTTCCCTGGTGATTCTAGATTCTGTCAAATTGGCAGTTGAAGCTTACCATCATGCAGAGTGCTTTTAGGCTGTATCCTAAATGGAGACCTCATCTGTCTCAAACATTAATAGTTATGGCTTCAGCTCTCCAGAGCTGATATCCAGGGGGGAGGAATAAGAAGGAACCAGGAGGGGGCTGGAGAGATGGCTCAGTGATTAAGAGCACTTGCTGCTCTTGCAGAGGACCTGGGTTCTATTCCTAGCACCCACATGGTGGCTAACAACTGTCTGTACTGTAACTCCAGTTCAGGGGATCTGATGCCCTCTTCTGACCTCCACAGGCATTGCATGACACAGGTGCACTTACATGCAGGCAATACACACATACACATAAAAATAACAAAATAGTTTTTTTAAGTTATAAATAAAATAGTTTTAAATTTTTATTTATTTTTATTTTATTTTATTGATTTTATTTTATTATTTTATTTTATGTGTCTGCATGTATTGCCTGCATGTAGGTAAGTGCACCCATGTTGTCCAATGCCAGCGGAGGTCAGAAGAGGCTGTTGAATCCCCTGGGACTGGAGTTATGGACAGTTGTTAGCTGCCGTGTGGGTGCTGGGATTCAAACCTGGGTCTTCTGCAAGAACAACCAGTGTTCTTAACTGCTGAGCCATCTCTCCAGCCCCAATAAATAAAATATTTTTTAAAAGAAAGAAGGAACCTGAATCAAGAATTGCTTGCATCAATGCTAGAGAGATGGCTCAGCGGGTTAAGAACACTTGGTACTTGCTGCTCTTACAGAGGTCCCTGTTCAATTCCCAGCACCCACATGGTGGCTAATAACTGTCCATAATTCCAGTTCCAGGGATGACTTCCAAGGGCATTGCATCACACGGGTGCACTTACATACATGCAGGCAATAGACTCATACATATAAAATAAAAATAATAAATAAAATATATTAAAAAATAATAATTTACATTAATGCAATGATAAATAAGGACCTTGTTTCTCACGCTCTCCAATTCCAAGGTCCCTAGCAGCCTGACATACTTAGTCTTATTTGTTTCTTATGCTCGTAACCCTGCAAGAAAGGTGTTAGTATGGCCGTTATCCGATGGAAAAATGGAGCTCAGAAAAGGTTGTCAATTCCCAAGAATTGTTCGTCACCCCAGCCTTAAATCACAAGGTTGGGTTCAGTCTCAGGATAACTGTGAGCTCACTTTCTCAGGAAGGAGAGATGCCAAGAATAAAGAGGTGTAGACAAGGGCAGGGTTATGTGAGGCTTTACCATGGAGGTCACAGACAGGCTTGAGGTGTCACTTGGAAGCTTTTTCTTAGGTCAACAGAGAGGAGACAGCCCTCCATGAGACGGAAATCAACCAGAAAGCATCACAGGAGGAAAGCAACAGGCACTTGGACCAGACGGGCTCAGCCATTTCCTAGGCATCATCCTGGCTCTACTGAGTTTCAGAGACTTAGTTCTTGGGAATCAGTCTCTGGTGTGCATGCTGCCTCCTTCAGTGGGCCAGTCTTTTGGTGCCCACATCCCTCACTTCATGGAGATGCTTGATTGAATGATTTCATTTTTGCTCCATGTTTAGGATTCAATGTGGAGTATTTGGTAAATGTCAGCCATCCCCACATCCCCTACCATTATCCCCAAGTTCATCATGCAAGCCCTGATCCCATGGGTGCCCAGGCCCTTGCTTCCTTCCTGTACCCAACTCAGTCCATGGGCTGTGGCCGTTGCTCACCTCAGAGAATCTCTATTTCGAGCCTTTGACACAAGGGTTCTGAGTCCTTGTATTCTTCCAACGGTTTTCCCTGAAGTGTGTTTATAAATTTATAAAATTCCAAGGAATTGGAAGCCTCTTCATTTATAGATTTCTAAAGAAATAGAAACTTGGCACTTTTCACTTAAAAATCAGTTGGGGGCCTCAGTACACCCAGATATAGGCTGTTTCCAGACACGTCTTCCCCTGTAAGAGCAAAGGCCTCCTTGGGGTGCCAAAGTACCTGTGGCCATCTCCATCTTTTTTCTGACCACATTATATCTCAAGTCTTTGTGCCTTCCCAGGCACTGGGAACTTTTCAGGCCAGGCTCTACTTTATCCTCCTTTGAGTCCCCAGCCTGTGGCATGGAGGCTGACAGGTGCGCAGTGAGTCGCCACATCTGTACACAGATCAATATTAAATAACAGGAGACAAGTTAAAACAGACTGCTCAAAGCGGGGCTACGCAAGGGAACCAACACAAATGGAGGTGAGATTTGTGGCCAGAAAGGCTTGTCTAAGGATGGATGAGAGTCAGTAGGCGGGCTGTGAGAGGGAGACTGGGCCAGGCAGAGGGAGAAGGATCATTTGGCTCTGTGGAGGAACACAGGACCACCATGACTGAGGTAGGAGAAACCTAATTCCTCTGTGGCTGTGGTGGGAGGGGCCTGAGACCTTGTGCCTATGGTTGGAAAAGTGGGCAGAGAGCTGAGCCTCCAAGCCCAACAGGCGCCTATGGATTCTGGGCACTGCTTCCTAAGGGGCAACTTGACCCAACATGCATTTAAAACCCTCCTGGTATTCTGGGTGGGGAAGAGATTGGAACAAGGCAGAGGGAGGGAAGCCCAAAGTTGTTTGATCATTGCCCATGGAAGATGAAATTGTTGGTGTTATGGTGGAGGAATGAGGGAGGATTTGGGAAGTGAACAGAATGTGATGGGTGGTTATCTGGGATGGAAGAGGTACCAGAGATGATCTTGGGGTACTGACAATGCTGCAGGTGTTAGGGGTTGTCATTCCCTAGAATGGGGAGGGCTGGTGGAGAAACAGGCTGGGGAAGATAACCCTACAAAGATAGTGCCAGGCCTGAGGGCAGCATGCAATCACACAAGGGCCCCATAAAGATGGCAGTTTGAGAACATGTTAGAACTTGAGGGACAGGACCACAGCAACAGAGATGGGAGATTCAGGGGGCAAGGAAATAGTGACAGCATAGGGTTCTAAAAGATGGGTATTGATGTACCCCAGAGTGAAGAGTTAGGCCTGATCAGACCACTGGATTCAACAATAGTGCTGCCTTTGTGAGCAGACGAGCCTGAAAGTTCCCTCTTCCCAGTGTGGAGACTCATTTGTTATCCAGCTCCAGTAAGATTAATGCCTGCATTGTCACCAGGGCCCCTGCTGCATATGTCACTCATGTCTGCCCATCCAGATCCACTCCCGCCCCTGCTCCTGATGTTCAGTGCCTGGAGGCATAGTGGGGTTTGACCATCACAGAGCACAGAACTGGAGGTGACCAAAAGATAGGGACTTAGGCAGTTACCTCCCTGCATGGTTCCCATGGGCGCTGTGTCCTTCCATAGAGGGTGACAGCTGATATCGGGGGCCTCTCCACACCTTACCTCTCCTAGGTCAGGTATTGACTTCTTCCTTCACTCACAGAGTATGTCTGAGCCCTGAGTTCTTGACCACCCCTTGTAGTGTTCCTATGTACCATACATAACTATATTTTAAAACTCCCCTTTTCTTTTATTATTTTATTTATTATTTTTACTTTATGTGTATGAGTGTATTGCCTGCATGTATGTAAATGCACCTCTGTTGTGCAATGTCCACAGAGATCAGAAGAGTGGCGTCGGATCCCCTATAACTGGAGTTACAGATGGTTGTTAGCTGCCATGTGGGTGCTGAGAATCAAACCCAGATCCTCTGCGAGAGCAGCCAGTGCTCTTAATCACTGAGCCATCTATCCAGCCCCTAAAACTTCCCTTTTCTAACTCAGAGCACCTAGTTTGTATAGACTACCTATTTTCTTATATGCATAGCCTCAGTCACTGCTTTCAGATTCATACATACCTAGACTATTGGAGTCACAATGAAAATGAGACATCATCTAGTCTGACTCTTAGAGAAACCCAGTATTCAGGGAGGCTGAGTATTTTAGTTACTTTTTTAATTGCTGCAACCTGACAAGAAGCAAGTTAAGAGGAGGCTTATCTTGGCTTAAAGTGTAGGAAGGGATATCATAGCAGGGAAGGCACAGTGGCAGGAGCATGAGGCAGCTGGTCACATTCATACCCAAGTCAGGAAGGACAAAACTGGCAGCAAGTAGGGCCTGGTCCTAAAACCTCAAAGCTCACCCCAGTGACCCACTTCCTCTAGCAGTGCTCCACCTTTGAAAGTTTACAGTCTTCCAAAAACAGTGCCAGCTGGGAACGGGGTGTTCAAACACATGAGCTTGTAGGGGACATTATGTATTCAAACCACAACACTGAGAGACCTGGCCAAGGCCACACAGCAGTTTAGTGATGAATTTTACCTGCTCTCGTGGCAGAAGTACGTCCCCTGTTGGCAATGTGCTCTCCAGGGACCTGGCTTGGGAATGTTTTGAGGATGGAAGAGGCAGGTTCTGATTGACAGGGTCTTTCTTACTTGCTCCTGGAAACCTCCTTCAGACACGTTCAGGGCATGCATTTTCTTTTCTCTCCCCAGGGATTGGACCCATCCACCTCAATGAGGTCCAGTGCACGGGGACTGAGAAGTCCATCATAGACTGCAAACTGAACACGGAGTCCCAGGGCTGCAACCATGAGGAAGACGCTGGTGTGAGATGCAACATCCCCATTATGGGCTTCCAGAAAAAGGTGAGGGAGAAGGGATGCCCAGAGGGACCTGTGCTGCTGAGGCCCCAGAGTACAGACCAGGTGGCCTTACTCTAAAGGGCTACTCAAGGTGTACTAAGGGCTCTAAGATGAACTCAAGAGAGGGTGCAGGCCCTGCCCCTGTCACTTTCAATGTTATTACCACCTAGCATTTCTAAGCATGCCGAATGAGCAAACACACAAATGCCACCCCATAGTGGCAGGTATCTGACCTCTTCCTCTGGACTGAGCCCTGCTTTGGGACTAAGCACGTGGTGCAGTGGGAGCTCAGACTTTTCCACAAAGGACTCATGGTGTACCACACCTGTGATACCCTTGGCATGGGTTCTATCCAAGGACCCAAAGGAGCCACATGAACAAGCAGATTCACAGAGCACTCTGGTGTGAGTACAATACAGACAGTTTGTAAATAGCAGGAATTGGGGGCGGGGCGTGTCAGCAGAATTGCAACCAGAGACAGACTCCACTCTCCTTGAGGCAGGGCTCTGAAGTGCCTAGGGTGGCCTTGCTTCCTTCCTCCCACCCTTGCCATACAGTCTATCCAATGCTATGAAACATCTGGAATTTCCTACATGATGCTCTTCACCAGGCCTTGCATTTGCCATGTAATATGTGATATCTGGCATAGAATGGGCATCAAGTGCTTATCTAAATAGTGATCAAATTTAGACAAGTCATGGCACAAGATGTGCCAGGCCTCTGCCAGGACAGCAGTCCTTGACCTTGACACCACCAGCACACCAAGGCATTTCTGACTGTGGGTGTAATTCACCATCCTTAACTTGGTCACAGGTAGGAACCCAACAGCAGACATCTGTGCATTTCCTTGTGGGTGGCAGAAATGTGCCCACAGGGAGGCCTGCTCTTTGGAAATGCCCAGCAGTCTTCTAGGGGAGCCCTGATAAGGTTGCAACATGTGCTGTGAGTCTCAGTGGACTGAGGCCCTTTTTGCATTGGTCAGAGCTGAGTGCAGTGACAGACCTCAGCCAAAGAACCTTTTTATGCTCAATAGAGCTTAGCCAGGCCGGGTGCTTGGTTGTGGTGGTGGAAGTACCGTACCCCCACCACCAATATCTTCCCCAGGACCCAGGTTCAAGGTTATGATCCCTGAGCTCAACCCCCTGTGAATTTCTTGGTTCTGGGTTCTCGCTCAAGTGACCTCCCTATGAAAGACATTCCACTGGGTGGGTCCAATTATCTTGCCATGATCGCTGACCATATACCGTGTGGCCAACCATGAGGCCCCAAAGCATGCCAGCAACCATACTGAGCAGAATGAAACATTTGAGCCTTATCACCATATCAGTCAGCTTTGCTTCCAAAAAAGAACCCACCAACGAGCTGACTTCACCAACAGGAATTGGTTTCTTCTCAATTCTCCAAGAATACAGCCAAGTCAAGGCCTTGTCACACTCAGTGTCTCCTGAGGCCCCTCTGTTCCTGACTTGCATCCAGCCACCTTTTCATTGTCCTTATGTGACCTTTTTCTATGCATGCTGCATCCCCAGTGTCCCTTTGCCTCCTTATAAGGATGACAGTCTGGTTGAACTAGAACATTCTCTTGTGTTCTCTTGTGACCTTAATTGTCTCCTTAGAGGCCACACCTCCGAATATAGTTACATGAGGGATTAGGACTTCTGCATAAGAATTAGGAAAGTAGGGACTGGGGATATAGCTCAGTTGGTAGAGGGCTTGCTCAGCACACACAAGGCCCTGGGTTTTGTTATCACAGTGAAGCCTCATTTCTTCCACTGCTGGGAGAGAAGAGCCATAGCAAGAAGCTCTATGAGTGGTGAGTAGCACGTGGCAGGCAGTTTCCCAGGAGAGCCGTTCACCTGGGCAGGACCTTTACCTACCTGTAGTTCATTCCTGAACTGTATCCTGGCCCTCAAGTGCACTGAATTAGAATGTCCACTTCCACATACCCTAACAGGATTGTGTTTCCTCACCTCCTATTCTACTGCTTCCAAAAATAGATGTGGGACTGTTTGGCACAAAAACAAGAGAGTCATCTCTTCTAAGAAGTTTACCCTGACAGGGAGGACAGTGCCAGGCATGGGTCCTGGCATGGGATCATGGGAAGATCTTGCGAAGACAGAGGGTTGAGGTATATGAGGAGGTCAAGGAACAGGGCCCACAATCTTATCGGGAGCACAGTGTAGCCCGAAGGGGAGGTGTTTCCATCCTTAGCTGTCCACACATCACTCCTTCATACCCCCGTCTGCTACCCAGAACTAAAGGAGCAAGAAGGGAAGTGCCCAGGCTGTTGTGAGAAAGTTTTACCTTCCTGGCCTCTTGGTTGGGTGATTGATAGTGGACAAGGTGCATGCCAGACACATCTGGCTTTCCCCAAGGCCTCATGGGGTCTCACTATGGCAGATGGAAAGCTAGCATCTGAATGGGGCTAAGCATGTTCTTTGCCCAGATGGCTCCACAGCCAGCCACTCTTGTGTATACCGCTCTTTTAAACAAAGCAAGAATGACCCCTGGAGCCCACACTGCCGGGATTCATCCGGAGCTGTCCAACCCTGCTCCTTATCACAGATATGGTTCCAGGCCTGGTCAGCCCTGGAGGACCACAGCAGTGTCCTGGGGCCTTGGGAAATGCCACATGTGTTCCTGGCCCAGAGTCAACATAGCAACCATGTTCTTTAGCGAGAGCCTTTGAAACTTCCCTCAGTTTTAGAACCCAAGAGAGGGATACTGCCACAGGGCCAGCCAGTCTAGGAAAATGCCACCCAGTCAGTGGTGGATGAGAGGGAAAGTCCCTTGAAACCTTGCAAAGAGAGCCCAGATGACAGGAGCCTTCGCACTGAGCATAGACCTGGAGACCTGGGGATCCCACTGCCTTCTGCAACCAGAATTCCTGGTCCCCTTGGTAGTGGCAAGAAACCATTTGCCTTAAGTGCAGTTAATGGGACAGGGTCCAATGAATAGGGGATTTGAAAACAGTAAGTCCAATAGAAAGTCATTTTGCTTTGTATCACCCTGTGTAAGCACAAGGGCTCACCAAGCTACTGGAAGAACCCATGACCCTCTCCTTCACTTCCCCATCACACATCCTGGCTATGAAGACCTTCAGCACTGCCAGGGTAGAGGTGGGAACCAGAAGCCAGGCCCAAAAGAAGGGGAAGTTCTACCCTGTTGTAGGATCCCAAGGCCTGGATGCAAACAAGGCCTGCAGCTCCCACCCCATCCCCACTGTACTCTGTCCTGAACATACTCTCACTGGCCCAAGGCCAGGAAGCTGGAGACTCAGAGACCCAGGGGAAGGATGCAAATGAGAGGCTGACAGCTCCTGCCAAGACACCTAGAGATGGCTTCATAAGGGACAAAAGCAGGTGTTATCATGAGTGTCCTAAGCCCCAGTGGACAGTGACTAATTCAAATGAATTTATGTCCTGGCTTTCTCTCACTGGGAGTCTGACCTCGTCCCTAACTCCTTCCAATGCTATCTGCCTTTGAACAAAAGCATCCTTGAAAAAGGCAGGGATTGAAGATTATTTGGAGGTGGGGAAGTTAAAAACCACTCACCTTATCTGAGACTCCACCCCACTGCCTGCCCTGGAGTTGACCTTAGCACTACAGTGCCCTGTGGCTATGTGAGAGCTGGAGACCCCTGTCCTTAAAGGACTAGCACAGGGTAAGGATGGAATGCTCCAACTGACTGTGAGTTTTCCATTCAAACACAGCACCTGTCACATACTATGAGCCCAGTACTTATGGGGTAAGCGACTAGATTCAGTGGAATCCAGGAGGCATACACACAAATTCATGTCGCCTTTTGGAAGGTGCTTGCATTTCCAGCAGTATTCAGGGTAGGGTGCATGCACCTGGGTGGCATCCTCAATGTGATGCCATGATAGTGTAATACCACACACAGGGGGCTCTCAAGGATGTGCTGAATCCTAGGTGACCAGGCAGGAATGCCTATCTTGGGGCTGGAGGAAGCTCTCATCCATTCCTCTTGCTGTCCACAGCTGCGCCTGAACGGGGGCCGCAATCCCTATGAAGGCCGAGTGGAGGTACTGACAGAGAGAAACGGGTCCCTTGTGTGGGGGACTGTATGTGGCCAGAACTGGGGCATTGTGGAAGCCATGGTGGTCTGTCGACAGCTGGGCCTGGGCTTCGCCAGCAACGCCTTCCAGGTGAGAAACCGTAGCCTCCCCCATCATCGGTTAGCCCCTCTCTTCCACGAACTCTCCCCAGTCACAAAGAAGGGACAGAACCAAGCACGAACTGGACCAAGAGAGGAGACCTCATTCTAGCCACAGCTCCTTCTCCAACAGTCCCAAATACCGGGGCAAGTCTCTCCTATCCCAGCCTCAGTTTCTAGCTATAGAGCAAGGGGCTCCAGGTATATCGAAGCTTTTGACATTGAGACACAACATTGTCATCTACCAATTTCACTCTGGATAACTGAGTTGTAAAGAAATATTACAATATTTTAAGTAAGTTTATGATTTTGTGTTGGGTCACATTCATAGCTATCCTGGACTGGATGCAGCCTCATGTGGCCCATTGGCTGCAGGTTGGACACATATGGGTCACTTACTGTTATCTGAGAGCCACTCTAATCTGCATGCTGAACCTTGGGTGTTCTGTGTGCCTTCTGCAAAGAGAAGTAACTCTGGAGGAAAATGGGGACCACCTAGCCCTAGGATTAACACTCCAAAGGTCTTCGCTTACTCCCTTGATGCACTCTTTGGCTGAACCTTTTCCTGGTGTCCCTACCTCATTCTTCCCCCTGATATGCTAGCAAATCTCAAGTTGTGTCCAGAGCCCTTGTCTCCCAGGGCCTCTCTCCAATGACACAACCACTCAAGGGAAAGCCGCTAAACTCTCTGGCCTTTCCTGTCTGCTCTGCAGCTCTCTGTCATAGGCAGGATTGGGCTAGAGGCTCTGGGGTTATTCCCAGCTCCAGCCCTGTATAGACTGGTACAAAGCACCCACTCCTCTGTGCCTCAGTTGTCCTACCTGTGACATGGAATGAAGGATCCAGAGTCCTCCATGTCCAAGCTCTGAAGGTCTTCATTAAGCAAGACAAAAGTTTGTGGTCCATCTTGTCTGCTAACTTGACTTCAGTTCCTAGTCCCACCTGGCCTTACCTGGGATCTGAGGAAGGAAATCAGCATCCTTGCTAAGCCTGTCTGTCTTGTACGGCTGGGCCTCAGCCCAAGTCACATGCAGTGGGGATGCTAAATCCTGAACTAGGGATGCACGTGCCCCCTGCCTGTGCCTCCTCAATCCAACATTCTAGAAAGACACAGCACACACACATCCTTTGGGAGCTCTGCCTCTCAGGGCAATGTGATGTTTATGGTAACATTGCTAATGACAAGCTGGGCACACTGATTCTCCAAGGAGAATGACCAACTGCCACAGGCAACAGATCCTCTGGCTAACTGGTTTTGTTCACTAACAGTGCATTCCTAAAACACTTTGGCCTCAGCTGGAGGCGAGAGATGGTCTTGGGTGTGATGTCAGTCCCAAACTGCCAGTGATGACACTGGATTGCTCATGTGGAGAATGAGGAGGGTCTTGTAGAGGTTTTTTGTGAGGCAGAGCCAAAAGGATGTAGACAACTCAAGTCATCCCTCAGTATCTCCAGGGGATTGATTCAAGACCCCTTAGATACCAATCTCCACAATGCTCTGGTTCCTCCAATCGAATCGTTCAGCGTTCTCAAAGAACCTACACTCATCCTCTCTTGTATTTCCTCACCTGTAGATGGCTTGTCGGACCTAATGCAGTGTAAATGCTATTCAAGTCATTGCTGTATTCTACTTCGTAGGAATTAGTGACAAGAAAAGTCTACACATAGTCAGGACAGTCACAATTTTAAAATATTTTGTTTTATTTGAGAGGCAGAGGCAAGCAAATCTCTGTGAGTTCCAGGCCAGAATGATCTACATAGTGAGTTCCAGGCCAGCTGGGGCTACGTAATAAGACCCTGTCTTGAGCTCTGTACCTGACTCCTCCTCCCTGTTTCTTACTTTACTGGAAACTTCTCCAAGAATAGCCTAACAACGTTTTGAAGTACTGTTGCTGGAAGGGACTCAACAAGTCTTGGCATCATACACTTGGGGAGTCCTCGGACTGTGTAGAATCACCCTATTAAATACTTTTCCCAGAATTAAATCCAGAAGTTGGATTTTATGAGATAGCTAATGATTCACATTAAATGTGAATGGTTTTCTCCTCTCTTGCAAATCCAATCAATTGGTAGGGAGCAGTGTGTCAAGGATTCCAAGATTACATTTGGGCTTAGAGGAGATGATTGATTAGTGATGTCTGCCTGGGCACAGGACTAGGAAGTGAGCAACATGACCTGTGAGCACCTGCCATTCCTGACATAGAACACTGAGCAGTGGTTTGATTACAAACTTAGCTCTACTTTCCCAACAGGGAGATGGCAGAATCCAGGCGTAGAGCCAAAAGATAGAGATGTTCACTGATTTTACCACCAGCTAACCACATGGCTGAGATAAGTGACTCTGCACCATCTCCATTTGAAAAATGAGTTCATTAAAACCTTGGGGGTTTATGCCAAAAGTTGACAGAATGTGAGAGAGCAACGTTTGAAGGTGATAAAGTGACACGGTGGTGATTTCTTTTGTTGGTTTCTCCAGGAGACCTGGTATTGGCATGGAGATATCACCAACAAAGTGGTCATGAGTGGAGTGAAGTGCTCAGGAACTGAACTGTCCCTGGCACACTGTCGCCACGATGAGGAAGTGACCTGCCCCGAGGGTGGGATGCGGTATGGTGCTGGAGTCGCCTGCTCAGAAAGTAAGAATTTCTAAGGGTTGCCTCTCACTCTCCCCACCCCCACCAGGCTCCAGGGGAGTCCAGAGAACCTTGGTTACTTCTCCCAAGGCTCTGGGGCTTCACAGTGAGTGCTCATGGAACGGGGAAAGAGCACCCCCTATAGGGTTCTTAGTCTCATTCATTAAAGAATTTAAGAATGGACACAACAGGAAGCTTTAGGACAATTTTATTAGAATTTTAAGAAAAATTTTCAGGGCAGGAGGGCTGGTAATCTCAATAGCTACCTTGAGGCAGAAGATGGAGGAGAGAAGGAAAGAAAACCATAAAGCCATGAGAAGAGGGGTCAAGAGGGAAACAGTACCCACACCCCAACTACAGGACCTGGCTGAGGAAACAGTAGACGGAAGCGGGGAAGGGCTAGTTTAAGGAGTGTGTATTAGTTACTTTTCTCATTGCCATGACCAGACACCTAACAAAGGCAACTGAAGGAAGGGTTTATTTTGATTCACAGTTTGAGGGTAAAGTCTACCATGGAGGGAAAGACATGGTGGCAGGAAGGTGAAGCACCTGGTCACGTGTATCTGCAGTCAGGAAGCAGAGAAAGATGAATGTGGTGCTCAGCTAGGTTTTTTTCCTTTTTATGAAATCTGGGACTGCAACCCAGGGAATTCTGTCCCCGTCCTCTGCCCCACCCCCAGAACTGGTCTTCCTACCTTAATTAACCTGATCACAAATATCTCTCACAAACTGCCTAGAGTCTCGTCTCTTCCATGATTCTAGATCCTGTCAAGACAACAGTAAATACAAACCATCACAAAGTCTGAAGTCTTAGGTTCAAATCACAGCCACTATTGACTATCAGTGACCTTGGGACAGACTGTGGTTGAGGACTCCCTGCTCATGAGTTAAATGAGAAAGGTGGTGCCTTCCTTAGGCATAAAACACAAGTGAAGGGGCTGGAAAGATGGCTCAGTGGTTAAGAACACTGGCTGTTCTTGCAGATTTGAATCCCAGCACCCACAGACAGCTAACAACTGTCCATAACTCTAGTCCCAGGGGATCCAGCAGCCTCTTCTGTCCTCCTTGGGCATTGCATGACATGGATGCACTTAAATACATGCAGGTACTACACTCACACACACACACATAAAATAAAAATAATAAATAAAATATTTAAAAACAAAAAAACCCGCATAGCCAGGCATGGTGGCACATGCCTGTAGTCCTGGCACTCGGGAGGCAGAGGCAGGTGGATCTCTGTGAGTTCAACCAGCCTGGTTATCACAGTGAAAGATTTATCGTCCTCTTTTTTTTTTTTTTTTTTTTTTTAAAAAAAAAAAAAAAAAAAAAAAAAAAAAAAAAAACCCCGCAAATAAAGGGCATGCTGGGTACTTAAGAGTCCCTCCTTTAACTCTGTTCCGTGAATTATTTCTTGTTTTCAAACCCAGAAGGCAATTTAGCTGCTTCATGGCTCTCTGGAGTCCTAGAGAGATAAGATGTTTAGAAAGGGAAGTTCAGCCAGATTCATAGCAGCCAGTCTCAGAAAGACTCCTATTTATGCTAAGAAAGAGGACCAGATAGATACACAGCCTTGTGGATGACTCTCCTAATGCACTCTATCCCCACTCTGCATTGTAAGCTTACCTCTTTCATGAGGCTTAGAACTGGCTAGAAAACTTAAGAGCAGACCCTGCCTGATCAACTGATCTTGGCCAACTGAGCTAGTCCCTGGAGTCTACACTTTCTGTCATTCCTAGACCCTGGACATCAGATGTAACACCAGTATGCACAAGTGCTTAATGAACAACGATGTACTATCACTTCACTATCACCAGAACAAGTAGGGAGATTAAACCTGAGCTAGTCAGTTCTACTCCCTGTCAACTTCTTTTAGCCTCACTCAGGATTTCCCAAGCCCTGCAAAGTAGCTTACCTGGTCAAGTCACAAGCTTTCACATCTTATTGGAAAGGAGAGATGGGCAGGTCACACCCTTACCAGCCTACGAGGCAGATAAAGCAGCCACACCCTGTCAGGGGAAATTTCCTTATTCATCAATTTATTTTTATTTATGAATATTTAATTTATATTTAGTATCCCATCCTTTCCAAAATTCAAGATAGCATATGATAAAAAATAAGTGGAAGAAAAGTAGGTGCTATGGGGCTGGCGAGATGACACAGCAATGAAGAGCACTGGCTGTTCTTCCAAAGGATCAGGGTTCAGTTCCCAACACCCACGTGGCAGCTAACAACCATCTGTAACCCCAGTTCCAAGGAATCTGATACTCTCTTCTGGCACCTGCAGGTATTGTATGATACAGGTACACTTACATACATGCAGGCAAAACATACACATAAAGTAAAAATAAACAAATCAAAAAAAAAAAAAAAAAAAAAAGGGAAAGAAAAGTAGGTGCTGTCAAAATGGAGCCATGGAGAGGCTAATTAAAAACTTGTAGGGCCAGCAAGCCTGATGACTGAGTTCTGTCCCCAGGATCCGGATAGTAGAAGGAGATAAGTAACTCCAGCAAGTTGTCCCCTGACCTCCACACATGTGCACATACAAGATAAATACATGTAATAAATTTAACACATGTGCACACACAAGTAAATACATGTAATACTTTGTTTTAATTGTGCAACATGGAGCTCTGTACCTTTACTAAGGGTAGGTCATTAATTTCACAGTGAATTTCCTAGCAGTCAAAGGAGAGAGAAAACTGCTCATTAATATAATTTACAGTATCCATGAGATGGAAGTGAACTATTGAGTCAAGAGAAGCCCACTTTTCTGGATGCTGAGATCAAAGGGAATTTCTCTCTTTGGGGACAGGAATTAAGAAATTTCCCTTGACATCTTCATGGCTGATATGGCACCCCTCAGCATAGGCTGAAGGTTCTCTTCAGAGCATGTCTCCAAGGGGGAAGTAGCCAGTGGAGCCAGGAACACAGCTCTAGGCTATTCTGACTAACCTCCTGTTGTTAGAGTATTTAGGGAGACAAAGGATTGCTGCAGGAAAACACTTTGTAACTTTTCTCACCCAGTGGGTTATTTGTGCCCTATATTACTTGACTTACTTCTAGGACAAAGTGTCTAACAAAAGCAACTTAAGGAGAGAGGGTTTGTTTTAGCTCACAGTTCTAGGGTACAGAACCTCATGGCAGAGAAATCATGGTGGTAGGAATGTAAGGCAGCTGGTTACATTGTATCTCTCCACAGTCAGGAAGCAGAGAGTGATGGATGTTTGTGTTCAGCTCCATTCTTTTCATTCAGTGGAGGACCCCAGGAATGTAGTACTGCCCATGTTTAAGGTGTATGTTCCCATCTCAATTAACCTAATCAAGATAATCCCTCAGAGACTTGTTTTCATGGTGATCCGAAATGTCAAGTTGCCGAGACTATCAAACCCAAGCACGTCTTCCTTGATGCTGTTCTTTCTCACTAACATTCCATCCATCTCCATCTTCACATTTCTCAACTGCATGTCACCCCACTGTCACTGTGTGTGTCCATTTGGCCATCTTCCTTCCATACTGTGCCAAGCAGACTCCCATGGGGTGGCAATGTTCCTCTGGTTGCTTCCTTCCCCAAACCCAGGCCAATGCTGCCTCTACTTCCACTCTCTCCTGTGCACATTCCCCCAGTGACCCTATTGCACTCGAACTCAAGGGACATACCCAGGGCTGGTGGTGCCCTGCCTCTTTTTGGGCCACCCCCCATCTCCTATCCTCAGTGTCCTGACCACACTGGCCCTGGACCTCCTTCATTCTAAGGAGAATGCCAGACGACATGCTCTTGAAGGGAAGCATTTGCTAACACAGTCTCCTGATTGAAGACTTCCCCTCCCTGCCCAAATCCTGCCTAGGTACCCTCCTTAGCTACCTCCATTCCATACCTTGTTCAAGTGGGTGGATTTGCTCAACAGAGGCTGCCAGCTCTAGCAGATTACAATGAGCTTGATATTTGCTGAGACCCAGAGAGAAGAGCAGGAGTTACCAGCAAAGCTCCCAGGTTGCCTGTAGACACTACACTAGGCTCTTAGGACAGAGCTAAGCAAGGCATGGAACATGAAACCACTAAATATCCTAACAAGAAACAGATGTTAGCTATATTGACAATTTGCAACAAGAACTTGCAGGAGAAATATGGGACTAGTTGAGAATTAAGTTGGAGCTGTTTCCATGTGCATGGTCTGGAAAGACTTGTTTGGGGATGTTTTCATTGTTCTCTGTGCTCTTGTAGAAGAGCACAGCCCACCCTCCCTTGAGATATTCACATGCATGGTCAGGAAAGACTTGTTTGGGGATGTTAGTTTTCATTGTTCTCTGTGTTCTTGTAGAAAGCACCAGACCACCCTCCCTTGAAATATTCACATGTGCTCTAGTTTCATTTCTGTTGCTGTGATAAAATATGATGACCAAAAGCAACACAGGGGAGAAAGGGATTTATTTGGCTCACAATTCCAGGTTATAGTCCATTATCGGGAATTGAAAGTATCACATTCACAGTAAAGAGTGGAGAGAGGCAAATGTACCCATGCTGCCTTACTTGCTTGCTCTCAGCCAGTTCCCTCCACTCTTATACAGCCCAGGACCACCTGCCTAGGGAATGTGGCTGCCCACAGTGAGCTGGGGCAATTAATAACAAGATAGTCCCCCACAGACATGCCGAGAAGCCAACCTGATATAGGCAGTCGCTCCATTAAGACTCCCTTCTTAGAGACGGTGTGTAGTTGACCGTTGAAACTAACAAACACTAGGGCTGGAGAGAGTGGGTCAGTGGTTAAAACCCCGTATCGTTCTTGTAGCAAACTAGAGTTCAATTCCCAGCACCTATGTCAGGAGGCTCACAACTACCTGTAACTCCAGCTCCAGGTGATCTGATGCCCTCTTTTGGCCTCCGCAGACACTTGTACCCATGTGCACATACTTCCATGTAGACACACACAGAGACACATGATTTAAAAATAAAATAACATGCAATTATCAGAAAACAAGATTGCTGGATCTGTTGGAAATCAGCCCTAGAGGACAAGGCTACTTAAACTTTTTTCCACTCATAACCCCATTATGCCTGAGAAATTTGCACATCACCCCAGCTATTTAGGTATTAAATAGGTACACATAATAAATCACAGATAAAATTATTTTTAAACATTTCTTTTATATATATAATTTTATCATTTATTAAAGAAGAAAAAATTGCATGCTAATGAGATGGAGATTAATTTTATTTATTTTTTATTTTATGTGTGAGTGTATTGCCTGCATGTATGTGAATGCACCCATGTCATGCAATATTTTTATTTTTTACCTAAAGAATTAAATCTTGATGTGTATTTAATACTGCAGAATGTAGAGAGTATTCAGTATTTTCCAGAGTTGATCAGTATTTTGATTTTAAAATTGTTACTACTGACAACACCATTTTGTATAAATACACAGCACAACAGCAGAAGTATGTTTAGGGCTGTTTTAGAGATTGGGCTGTTGGAAATTTTGTCCTAATCCCAAGCCAAAATGCATTTATCAAAAAAAAATTTTATGAAACTCTAGTCAGCAATTCAAGCACCAGTTTTTTAAATCAAACATTCTACCCCAATACGGCCCAGAGATCTACTAATTTGATACATTTTATGTGTAGGAACACAAAAGTCTTTGTTTTCAGCCAGGTGTGGTGGCGCACACCTTTAGTTCCAGTGCTCAGGAGGCAGAGGCAGGCGATCTCTGTGAGTTCAAGGCCAGCCTGGTCTACATAGTGAGTTCCAGGACAGCTGGGGCTACAGGGAGACCCTGTCTCAAAAAGAACAAAATAAAAAACAGTCTTTGTTTTCTGTAGGTGAGCCGTTATGGTTCTGTGAGGACAAAAGAACCGTATGGACAGTAAAAGCCTGCAATTCACAACACACAAAAATCTTGACTCTGAGCTGAGGTGTTTGGGTCGCCTTCACTGGCATCGTATGGTGTGATAGTATGTACAGTGTGTATGTTACATGTACAACAGAGGCTGTAGTGATATCATGCCATGTGACATGGGCAGGTGCCGCCAAAAACACCTCAGATTCATTACACATTTGATTTTTGGTCATTGTACATTCAGAAACCTTTCAATGTTCCCAAAAATTTCAAGATTCCTACATTTGCTTATACAACCCCAGATGAAATCACATCCCACATTTTAAGACATGGGGCACAGGACACTGTTGTGAATTATTCTGTGAAATGCATACCAGAGGCTCATGATTCGCAGATGTGCAGTTTACATTTGCAGAAACAGTGTAGGTCTCCCAGGACAGTAGTTGAGACATGGACAGCATCCTTTCAGCATGAGCTCTGTGTCATGCAGTGATTGAAGAAATTAAGATATTTTTCAGAATTCAGAGCCTAGGGAGGCTGGAGAGATGGCTCAGCAGTTACGAGCACTGGCTGTATTACAAAAGACCTGGGTTTGGTTCCTAGCACCCATGTGGCAGCTAACAACCATCCATTACTCCAGTTCCAGGGGATATGATATCCTCTTCTGGCCTCTGTGAGCAATGCACACATGTTGTGCACTTACATACATGCAGGCAAGACACTCATACATGTAAAATAAAAATAAATACATTAATTAATTTTTTTAAAAAATTCAGAACCTAGGGAAAAGTTATACAGTGGAAAAAGGAAGAACTTGCTAGTAATCATTCAGCTCTCTCTTCTGGAAATTTCTCTGCTAGAAATATATTCTAAAGAAAAAAAGTTATGTACAGGTTGACTAGGTGATGTTTAGCACAGACTTGTCCTTAATTGAAAAACTCCGGTCAAGGTACATCTGTAAAAGATAGAAATGGATGATGAATTGAATATTACAGAGCCATAAAATGAACATTGCAATGTTTACACATCAACAGTCAGATGTGTCTTAAGGGGACTGGTAATAGTAGATCATAAACCTACATACATGTTGGGAATGATATTCCCTAAAGAATCAGATCAAGGGTGAGTGGTGTTCTCTCTCTCCCTTCATTATTGTTTGTTTATTATGGAAAGTTTGAAGCCACTTAAAAGTAGAGAGCATAATATAATGAGCTCTTGCGTCTATCACCACTGTGTGTGTCAGCATTTTGCCCACCTGCACTGGTAACTGAAGGAGTGAGTCCCAGAAGACTTCTAGAAAAGAGAAAATATAATTGGGGTCATGATTGGCAGGAAGGTAACACTGAAGAGCCCTGGCTGGGGCCAGTTCCAGAAGTGATGTAAGAGAGATGGAGCTTTTCCCAGGTAAGATTCCAAAGTGGAGCCCTCAGGAGGGTTATCCTGCCTTGGTGACCCATGTCTGTCTTCCCCAGCTGCACCTGACCTGGTGCTCAATGCTGAAATTGTACAACAGACTGCCTACCTGGAGGACCGGCCCATGTTCATGCTGCAGTGCGCCATGGAGGAGAACTGCCTGTCAGCCTCTGCCATCCACACCAACCCCACCAGAGGCTACCGGCGCCTTCTGCGCTTCTCCTCTCAAATCCACAACAATGGCCAGTCTGACTTCCGCCCCAAGAATGGCCGCCATGCCTGGATCTGGCATGACTGCCACAGGTAAGCCCTTTCCCCTTCGTCACACAACCTGTCATTCTGCAGGACCCCAACAGGGAATCTAGAATGGCCACAGTGGCCAGAGAGACAAGAGGCCGTGGCCCAGACAGAACAGTGGTCTGTATTTCTGGAAGCTACTCTCCACTCCCAGTCCACTGGCTGCTTCTCCTCAGCCCCTGTTTCTCGCCTCTAGCTCTTCTGACCCTAGGAAATACACTGCTCTGAGTAAGGGTGCCTTCGAAGGGACCTTCCGTCGGCAGTTTCCAAGTGCATGTACAACACATCTGTACTCCGCAGGGAACTTTAGGGCTTTGCAATCTGGATCTCTGTGTCCATAGAGAGATATATTTTGCATATCAGTATGTAATTTTTAAATTGATTGTTTGAGTTAGCATACAGAGCAATGGGTTTCATCATAATACTTTAAAAAATTCATGTGTTACTGTACTGTGCTGTTATTGATGCCCCTCCCCCACTGCCCTTTCTATCTTCCCTGTCATCCCCACTTCCCCACTTTACCCAGTATTCTTAATAGCTCTAGCACTCCTAGACAGAGGGTACAGGGACAATTTCTGGGCCCCAGAGTCATGAGACCTGGTTTAACCCTGCTGAGCCTCTGACCAGAGGCCCGAGATTAGGCCAGCTGGGCCACATTGCCCAAGGCTTCTAGGCTCCCTTCCAGTTGTCAGTCTGTGGCTGTGATCCAAGTGCTATAAACATTAGGCCAGGATACAAGACAAGAGGGAGAATCTGCAACTGGCCTCATGGGCCTACGGAGGCCACCTGGACCTCCTTCCCTCCTGCCTTCCGTTTGCGTCTCCCTCCTTAACATTTAATCGAATACAGATAAAATGTGCCTGCTCGGTCACATTTTGCTCTTAGTCCTAAGCTGGGCAGGTAGAGGACAGAAACAAGCACTGTTGGAAAAGCAGCCGCCATTCCTCCCACAGGAATCTCCCCAGAGGTCTATGAATGTCTAGTAGTTCCTCTTCTCTGGGCTCAAATATTCCATCTGTGACAGGGAATGTTTGCCCTGGACCCCCTCCCTGCCTTTTAAAGTGAGGTCCCTGGACCAGTGTTATCTGCCATCATAGCCAGGGCCTGGGCTTGCTGAATGCCAGACATATGAATCAGTCTAAAATTCAGCAGGACCCTACAGGATGGCATGTCAGAGCCTGGGAAGCCCTGTCTAGACTTCCCTCCAACTCTAGTGCTGCAGTCACCAACAAGGCAGACACACTCACATTCCATCCCAAGTGACAAGACATCAAATTCCATGTAACTGCCCAAGATAACACAAGAAGTTACAACACAGGGTTCTCAGCTGGACCCATCAGCTCCAAAATGTGGGTTCTGCTGAACATTCATCATGTACCTACCTTTTTTTATTTTAATGTGTATGCGTATATTGCCTGCATGTAGGTAAGTGCACCCATGTCATGCAATGCCCACAGAGGTCAGAAGAGGCTGTCGGATCCCCTGGGACTGCCATGTGGGTGCTGGGATTCGAACCCGGGTCTTCTGCAAGAACAACCAGTGTTCTTAACTGCTGAGCCATCTCTCCAGCCCCATACCTATCTATCTTTAGCCTCTTTGTCATGTCGGGAATTATGGTCTATTCGTATTTAAATCAGTTTGAAGATACAGTTGTCTAACCCATTCCAAAAGGAAATACTCTAATTCCATTTAGGGTATTGATTTTCCTTTGAGACTAAAACTAGCTGAATATTGTAAATGCCCTAAGGACCAAAGAATCACATGGAAGTAAAGTCTCAATGCCTGGTTTCCCTCAGAGACCATGTGGTTGAATGCCAGGGGCAGCAGGGGCTGACACTGCCTATGGGTCTATCAGTGGAGGGTAATTGCATCCCAGCCCTGCATATGGAGGCCCACCCAAGATTACATGGTAGGAGTCTCCAAGTGCCATATGTTTACCCTCCCAGCCATCTAAGAATGGCCACGTGGTGACATCATGGCCGTGTCCTTCTGATCTAGAGCCCCAGTACTCAAACTCCCTTCACTTTTCTTGTGGTACTTTTCTCCTTTGCCTGCAGATGTTCCAGTCAGTGGTTTGTGGGGAGAAGGATGGGGAAGAACATGAACTAAGCATAGGTCAAGCCATAGTTTCTTCACCACCTGGACATAGAGGCTGTCCTAGTTTTTGTCTTCATTGCTGTGACAAAACATTCTGACCACTACCAACTTGGGGAGGAAAGGGTTTATTCAGCTCACATCTCCCAGGTCATAATTCATCAGGGAGCCCAGGGTAGGAACTCAGGGCAGGAACCTGGAGGCAGGAGCTGGAGCACAGGCCATGGAGGAATGCTGCTTACTGGCTTGTTCCCTTGGCCCCTGCTCAGCCTGCTTTCTTAAACAACACAGGCCCACCTGCCCAGGGGTGGCACCACCCACAGTGGGCTGGGCCCTCCCACATCACTCATCAAGAAGATGCCCCTCAGACATGGCCACAGGCCAGTACAATAGAGGCAATTCCCCATTGAGGCTCCCTCAACCCAGGTGTGTCAAGTTGACCCTAAAGCTATCCAGCACAGAGGCAATGCCCTCAGGGTCATTCTCTCAATGATTTGTGCCTCGGTCATTGACCTTGATGTAGTCTTTACTTCTGTCCCTTGTGCCCCAGGGACTGACACCATACTGCTTAACTGATGCATCAGTTTTTGAAGAAAGCCAGACAGAGTAGGCACAAGTGCATAGTTTGGTCCGGAGGAACTATGACCATAACATGTAGGGGGCTACAGGAGTCCCCCGCACTAGTCTCCAGAACCCCAGGTGACTTTTCCAGGCTCACTAGTTTTGCTGCATTTTCTAAGACAGTCTCATGTAGACCAGGCTGACCTTCAACTCCCTATGAAAGCCAAAGCTAGCCTTGAACTCCTGCCTCTACCTATCAGTCTCTGGAATTACAGGCATGTGAAACTACGCCTGGCACTCTCCCAGTGGGAGACCTGGCTTCAACCTTTGTTGGGTCCCTTGGGGAGGCTCCTGAAAGCTGGCCCTTCCTCAATTCAAGAAATTTATTTCTAGAAGAATTAACATCCCACCTCAGCAGGTTAACAAACCCCAAAGCAATGTGTGGAGTCAAGTAGGAGAGCCCTGGCTCTCCTAATATGAATGGGTGGAAAATGCCATTCCCAAATTGATGTTACAATGAGGAACAGAACTGTGTTCCTTGAAAGTACTAAGCTTAAACACAAAAATTAGTGCCCTCAATGTTTTTCACCAGCTGGACAGAACTCAGTGTTGTCCTCTCAAATGCACTAATTGTCTCCAGGGGGCTGGTACCTTACTCAAAGGACACATCATGTCACAGTTTTGATGGAACCCAGACAAAATGGGCACCTGTCCAGAGCAGCTGCCCTGCTGCATCCCGGGGGATCTATTCTCCCTCACTGGGAAGCCCCAGGGAGGAGCTGAGAGCTGGAAGGGCAGGAGGCGAGCACAGGCTCCCCAAGTCAGGATTGGCACAGTCTGGGCTGCCAGCCTCTGTCATGTGCCTAACAGCCCCCGACAGAGTCAGAACACACAGATGTGATGTGGCCTCTCCTTGAACAAATTAGAGACCGCTCATCCCACCCAAGGGGGTTTGTTCCTGCTTGATACATGAGGGTGGCAGGGTACAGCCCACAGAAGGACCCCTGGGGCCTTTGTGATAGCCCTGCTGAGACTGGAAAACAAGACACCCCCAGTGTCTCTAAAGTAAGGACAGGAGCCTTGCCCCAGCCTCCAGTGTCAGGGTAACCAAACACAGACCAGTTTTCTTTGAGCTGGTTATGGCTTCCATCCATGTTTGCACTCTGCACACCACCACCCCTTGAGGGATGCTAGGTGTCAGGACACAGAGTGCTGGAGTCCTGCAGTGAAGGACTTTCCTTTAATCCAGATTACAAAATTGGGCATGGTGGCCTATGCCTATATTTCAGTACTCAGGAGATAGAGGCAGGAGCATTATGAATTTAGAGCCAGCCTGGACTACATCATTCAAGGCCAACCTAAACTAAACAGTGTTTCCCCATCTTAAGAAAGCAAGGGCTAGGGCTGTAGTTCAAGAGGCAGCAGTACTTACCTACCATTTCCAGTACTATAGGGGGAAAGATCAACTAACCAACCAGCCAAATACAAGAATTCTATCACACACCAGGCCATGTTCCCTTTCTTTAGTATTCTGGAGTGTCTTCCCAAGTCTACAATTCCAGATCCTGACCTGGGGCTCAGATTCCTGCTGGACTCCAAGCTGACAAGAGAGTCACTCTAGTGCCCAAGATTCACCCTCTTCCTTTCCAGCACCCATTAATGTTGGGTAGAGGGCTTCTGGCTCAACTTTCCAGTAGCTGGGAGGGACATGTGGCCCTCAAGGGTGTCCAAAAGAAAGCAGACACTACGGGACAGAGGCCAGTGAGAACCAGGGGACGTGAAGCCCATGGCTTCCACCCAGCACTTGTTCCCAGGGAAAAAACTGAAACTTGGAATCTGGTCTACAGGAGACCTGGCTGCAGGAGGCGGCTTCACAACAGCCCTGCTGTGGCCCTGTCTGAATTCTGTTTAGACAACGGAACATAAATGCTCCCTTCTGCAGTCTTTCCAGCCGGCCGGCAGTCACATAAGCCCCTCTCTGAAGAAGCAGACATTTTTCAGCCCATGAGTCAGACCTCATGTCTCATCTGGCCCCTGCAGGGAGCCAAAATAGACTCCCTCAAAGTCATCACTTCATTTGCTACAAAATGTTCCTTGTGAGGGTTGTCCACTGGCCCTGGCCCAGCACCATTTTACCCAGAAACAGGAGTGACCTGGGAAGCCCGACCTAGCAAATTCTGACATTATTTATATAGCGTGAGCAAACACAGGAGGAAGGAAAAGTCTCTAATTTCCTCTCTGGAAACCCTTTCCATTGCCCTCTTCTCTCCACACACAGTGGAGGGGGCCCTGGGCCACCATGCCAAGCATGAGAAATGAGAGATAACAATCAGGCTGGGTGATGGAACCCTGGGGAGCATCAAGTACTGCAGCTGTGACTGAAGATTGACAAAGCCACAAATAGGCCATTGGCGGGTCCTGAGCACTTCCCTTATTACTTACCAAGCTTGTTTTGGGTCTTTTGTGTCTCTATCCTTTGATTGATTGATTGATTGATTGATTGATTGATTGATTGATTGATTGGAGACAGGGTCTCATGTAGCCCAGACTGACCTCAAACTCACTTATGCAGCCAAAGATGACTTTGAACTTCTGATCTTCTTGCCTTACCACCCTAGTCCTGGGATCAGAAGTATGCACCACCATGCCTAATTTGCTTTTGTTTGGTCTTTTTGAGACAAGGTCTCCCTGTAGCCCCAGCTGTCCTGGAACTCACTATGTAGACCAGGCTGGCCTTGAACTCACAGAGATCCGCCTGCCTCTGCCTCCTGAGTGCTGGGATTAAAGGCATGCGCCACCACGCCTGGCCTCACCGTGCCTAATTTATGTGGTTCTGGGGATCAAACCAAAGGCTTCCTGCATGCTGGGCAAGCATTCTACCAACTGAACTGCATCCCCAGACCTCTGTTATTTATCTTGTTCAGTCCTTTCATTATCCCAAGATTCGGTTCTCACTTTACTAAAGTGGACACTGAGTATAAATGAAGCCAGTACTTGTCTTCCTGCAGTGCCTTGGCCTTGAGGGTCTTCCTTTTTTAAATGTCCCTGTAATGGTGGGGATGAGTCAATCAGAATACACATAGCAGGTTGGGATGGAGCTAAAGCCAGCCTGACATCTTATGTCCTGGGCCTGGGTAATGGAAGATTCTGGAAACCCCTCAGCTGCCCTCAGCAGTCCTGCTTCCCTGGTTATTTCTGAACAAAATGTGTCACCCTCCAAGACTGCATCTGTTCTCAATTTCTCCCAAGTGAAGACATGGACCTTTATAAACAGTCAGCTAAGGGAACCACAGCCTGCTTGTATGAGCACTGCCTTGGCCAGATCCCTTCTGGAGCCCCTGAGATGCACCTTCCTGAGCTGCTGCCATGTCCCTCCCTGAGAACCACTTGCTTCTTCCTCCAAGAAGCCCTCAGGCCCTTGTCCTTCCCCACCTTGTTTAATGTGCTCAATGGAGGAGCTTGGTCTGGCTGCTCCCCTCCTCCAGCGGGCCCCCTTGCCCAGTCAAGTGCATGCACATCACCAGGGCACGTGCAGCCACTCTGGACACATGCTTTATTTCTTAGTGACTCTCCTTTCTCTGTAATCACTACCTTCTTCTTTCCCTGTTCCATTCAGTTCCTCCCTTTTATAGTCTTACTTTAAAAAGACAACAAAATGATTTTTTTTAAATTAGTATGTTGTATTAGTTTCATCGTAGTAAAAAAAAGTATCAGAGGCAGGGCTGGAGAGATAGCTCAGCAGTTAAGAACACTGACTGCTCTTGCAGAAGACCCAGGTTTGAATCCCAGCACTCACATGGCAGCTAACAACTGTCCATAACTCCAGTCCCAGGGGATCTGATGGCCTCTTCTGTCCTCCGTGGGCACTGCACAACACAGGTGCACTTACCTACATGCAAGCAATATACGCATACACATAAAATAAAAATAATAAAATATTTTTAAAAATCATATGCAACAAATTTAGAAAGGTTTATTTTGCCCCCAGTTTTGGAGGTTCCAAGCCATGGCGCCCCTACTGGCTCAGTTCTGGTGAAGGCAGTAGATGGTAGCACATCCTTTTGGGAACGTGGATAGGAGTGAACACATCTGAAGCCAGAAAGCAGAAAAAGGAGGAAGAGACAGGGGTTCCACAATCCCCTTTGAGGGCATGCTCCCAATGACCTAAGAACCTCCCATAGCCTCTGCCTCCAGATATTGCATAGACTCACAATGGCACCCTGAGGAAGAAGCATTTTGTGCATGCACATTTGTCAGACACTTGGTATAGCACATCTGGAGAGAGGCACCATGGGACAGGGCTGGACAAGTCAGTTGGGCACTTAGGAGGGCCCCTGATAATTAAAAAGAATAGCTTATTCTATTGGGCTGATTGAATGCCAGAGACTGCGCTGTCAGCTGACCTCACTGATACCCACAATGCTCTGTGCATTGTGCATATCAGTACCACTTAGCCCATGGGCCTGAGGTGTGGGCAGGTGAGAGGCTGTCTGACACCTCGGTCCAAAAGCCCCTGTGGTTACTGGCTTTGCTTTGGCCTTCCTTTCACTCACACCCTTCCTCCTCGCTCCTCTGACACCCTGGGCCTCTGCTGCTTGGGGTTCTCCCACAGGCAAATCACCAATTAGACAGCTATTTGCAGGCAGCTTATGGTTCCAGACATTGACCTTGGGTCCTGTCTCTGGCTTGCAGGCACTACCATAGCATGGAAGTATTCACCTACTATGACCTTCTGAGCCTCAATGGCACCAAGGTGGCTGAGGGCCACAAGGCCAGCTTCTGCTTGGAGGACACGGAGTGTGAGGGAGGTAGGTTTGGAGGGGAAAGTTGGGGCTTCAGAGGACTTTGACCACTCCCACTGCCATGTCCAGTCCATTGGGCTGGAGGCCAGGCCAAACACCCACTTTGTGTCACCCTGGCCACTGCTGGCTGTCCATGTGGCCTTTTTTCTTGAGAGGTCTTTATTTGCCAACTCTTGGGCCTTCCATAGTTGCAGAAGGTGGTTCTAAAGGCATTTGTTCTTCAGAGATGTTCTGACTGGTGCTGATAGGGTCACATGGCTCCAAGGTAAGGTATGGTACCTGGGGCCCGACTCACACGGCCCTCCCTCTCTACCTGCCGCAGACCTATCTACAGGGTTTCCTAGTTTCTTTCCCCAACTAGGCTTAGTGTCCAAGTTCACAAACAAGAGCCCTATAAAGTTCCCAGATTCTCCACCCATCCAGCCCCATACTCCCCTTCCACCTCAGGTAGGTCAGCACGCTGCACTATGGTCACACAGTACTACACCTGCCATTCACATACACCAGGAGCCCTTAAGGAGAGACATCTGTTCTCTACCCATTACCCACATGAGGTCCAGATGCACAGCTACTCCATAAATATGTTTAATTTCTCTTTATTGAAGTGACTCACTATTGACAAGCCACAAAATCACACAGCAAAGAAGCTTTGAGCACCTACAGTATAAAGACAGCCTATGAGGGACCAAGAGACAGATCAGACATGAGTCCAGATGCCAATGCTCCAGAGGAGAAAGATGAGGTGACTCCACATTAACCTACATAGTGAACACTAGTGATGTCCCAGTTCAACACACAGCCCTCCCTAGGCTGAGGATTTCACAGGACTGCCAGTGCAGACCAGATTGATCAGGGAGCACTTCACAGCAGAGGGGACCTTGAGCCAGGCTTGCAGAAAAGGCTGGCCTGTGGACAGGGAATGGAGTGAGGGGCTCCACTGCAATGAGAAGAGCTGAGACCCACAGGTGGTGGATGGGATGGAAGAGCGATGGGAGGCTTGAGGACTGGAAGAGGCCAGGCAGAGGGCCATGGATGCAAGGCAATACTCCCCTCTTCCCATCCACAGACATTCAGAAGAGTTACGAGTGTGCCAACTTTGGCGAGCAGGGCATCACTATGGGCTGCTGGGATGTGTACCGTCATGACATCGACTGCCAGTGGATTGACATCACTGATGTGCCCCCTGGAGATTACCTGTTCCAGGTAAGGTGGGCAGGACACAGGCCCCTGCTGTTGAGAAGGGACTCCTGTGGTGGCCCAGGAACAAGATATGAGCCCAGGCAAGGTGCCATACCCAGGGGGTGTCATTATCTGTCAAGCAATATAATTGAGACTCATGGGCCTGAGGAATACAGAGCATGCAGAGCCTACTGGGAACCCACGATGGAACCCACATGCTGGAGACATCACATACAGTTACTTACCTCTGGAGCTTGCAAATCAAAACATGTAATCTGCAGGCTTATTTAGATCTCAGGCCAGGAATTGGTTCTATGGACTCTGAAACAACATACATCTCTGTTCTCCTCCTGAGCTTTTTCCCTCCCATGAACTACAACCCTGATTTCCTCTAGTGCCCTCACCTCCCATGGTCTGTGCTCTTGAGGCTGAAAACAATTGTATCAAGTGGCAAACGTGTGATTTTCCTCCCTCATAAGAAAGAGCTGCAGAAGGGCCAGTCTCCATACAAAGAAATTAATCTTTAGGGTATAAAGTCAAACTAGGGAAGCCTGGCCTGGAGACTGTTTTGTGAGGACATGGGATTTCTGGCCTTCCAACTTCCTGCAGACAGTGGTGGAATGCTGCAGCCAGGCCCATGTGGCAGAGGAGACAAGGAACACTGCATCCCGTTGTCTCTCCTGGCACATGGCTGCATTCCTGCCTTTAGACGCTTAGTTCCTACAAATCCCTACCCGTCACACTTCCCAGCTTGCCCTGTTGGGTGGCAAAGTGGGTGACCAGAAACGGGTCATTCTGCCTTGAAAGCATTGCCAACGGGGCCTTACCAACAGCCCACGGTCTAGCCCACAGTCCCTACCACCAGACACTCCCCTGAAGAGCCAACACCTGCAGAGACGTGACCACAGGGTGCTTTGAGAGGGCTCCTGAGCACCATCAGGAAAGCAGACAGCCATGCACTTTCTAGCCATGAGTGAAGCCCAGAACCACAGCCTCGGGCAGGCCCAGCCTAGAAGCAGAACACTCTTTATTTAATAAATGGACTTCCGTGGCTATGGGCTCATACGCAGTGCTTGGTGGCTCAAGTTGGCAGTTTGCTGTCATTCAGTAGATGAATGTGTATCATTCTCTGTTAACAAATGCTTAAAAGTTTCTGATGAGTCTGGCCAGCCTTCACCCAGAGTGTACTGACCCACTGATTCTCCCAGTGAAGAAACAACATCGTTAGACTCTTCACTTCAAACACAGGCCATGCCAAGTATCTATGTTGTATTCATGACCCCTAAGCAGACGGACTTGGAGACACAACAGTGCTTCTAATGAATTTCAAGTCTTTCTGTTGGTGGAGACACAAAACTGTGGATCTCTTCCAGCCCTGGCCTGTGGGTCCACAGGACACAAAAGTCAGCCTCTGTCACAGACAACAGAGCCTGCTGTTAGGACTGGAAGAGGACACTGGTAGGAGGAAGTAGCCTTTCTACACAGACTCAGGAGCAGGGCTTGAGGGGCAGATAAGTTTCTGGTGGGCCTTGTTTTCATCCCCTCCAGACACACAGGGAACTAAAGGTGCTTTCCTCATATGGTCATGAGCCGTGGAACCTTGGATGTGAGTGTGGGGCAGGGCTGTGGAGACCGCACATTTCAGCGGAAGCTGTTCCTACACCACCAGCCCAGGCTGCATCCTCCTGCCTTCATAGCCTCACTTCAGGGATGCCTGGTTGGGGAGAGAGTTGGCTGGGCCTCAGCATGAGACACTGTTCTCCCCATGTTGAGCGAGTGCGGCTAAGGAGACAACTAGGTTGTTGGAAAGAAAAGAGATCAAAGAAAAATCAGGCCACCCCAGAGAGGGACATTTAACACTCTGTCTAAATGGACAGTGCCACATGGGACATGGTCTGGGTTAAGATGTGGTCAGGCCAGGCACAAGCTTTCCAAAGTGGTCTCTGTCTGGCCAAGACACAGCGCCATGCTTAGATGGGCTCATTTTCCTGCAGCATCTCTTAGAAAAGACCCATCCAACCTGCTGAAGAGTCAGACCTCACACTTAGAATGTTCACTAGTAAGCCACCTGCTCCCCAGAGAGGATGACAGGCCCTCACTTGCATCCCCTCACCTTCACCCACCACCCCGGGAACAGCTCTGTAGCCTTGCCTCCTGCTTCCTGCCCTATTACCCCCCACTTTCCTGCCCCTCATAATTCTTTCAGGATGACAATCCTTCACTACAGCTTTGGGTTCCATCCACTCAGGTGGAAGAGTGCAGAGAAAGGGCTGGGTGAAGTGGGAGGAAAGGGGGGTGTCCCAGTCAGGCCCTGGGCCAGTAAGGCAGGAAGAGACTTTAAGACCACTTAGGACATCCCATCATTTTACAGAGCAAGCCCCAGACCCAGAGTAAGAATGTCCAAAGTCACACAACTGGGGTCAGCCTCAAGACCCCAGCAGCACTGGCAGCCCTCTCTCCACATCCCACACCACCCTGTCCTCCCCATTCAGTCTCAGCAGCCTTCTTCCTGCTATTTCTGGGGAAGGTTCGGCAGCTCATTCTGGGGCCCCCAGGAAAGGGGGACCCTGGTGAAAACCTGCCCTTGGTAGGGGTTTGTGTGGTATACTAGAGTGGACACAGAAGGCCTCATTCCTCCAGGCCTTGCCCCATTCTGCTCTGCCCCAAGGATGCAGTCAGGACATACACCACCAACCCTAGGCACCCACTGGGCAATCTAGCTGTTCCTTATGCCTGCCTAACTTCCCTTTTCCAAGTACACCAGGTTCTGTAAGAGCCCCTGCCCTGGGGTAGAGGATGGCCAACAAGGGAATTTAGCGTCCTCTGACTTCACTCCCCACAGGTCGTCATTAACCCCAACTATGAGGTGCCAGAATCGGATTTCTCCAACAACATCATGAAATGCAGGAGCCGCTATGATGGCTACCGTATCTGGATGTACAACTGTCATGTAGGTAAGTTCCCTCGGTGGCCCCACCCTCCTCGAGTACTTGGCCCACGTCCTAGGACACAAGACACAGCTGCCCTACTTTCTCTGGGAACCAGAAACAGCTAATGTGGGGAAAACTATGAGTGGATCCAGCATCAAGTTCCCAGCTTAGGAAAAAAGCCAGAGACACAGAAAGCCTGGGTGGGGACTGGGTGTTCACAGCCAGCCTTGGCCAAGGAGAGGGTGGTGCTAAACTGGCCAGTCCAGAAAGAGCAGACCCCAGAACTATATAAGGCCTGGAGCTGAGGCTAACTCACTGTGCATGTGACCACAAATATGTGGGTATCAGCAGTTTGTGGGCTCTGTGTTTCGGGTTTTGCTGTGAAGGACTAGAAGTGAGCAAACCACTGTCCCTAGTCTCCAATGAAGAGATTTTTCCTTGGGGAACAAAAAAGAAAGCAGGTTTTGCCTCTTCGGGCATGTGACAAGCCTCACTCCTCGTGACAGTGAAAACTGAGGGCACTACATCTGTTCACACAGTGAGTTTGACACAGTACATGCCCAGTGCCTGGCCCTAGAGCTGACTAGCAGTACTTGCCTTGGGGGTGGTGTCAGAGGGGTCCCAGTGGAGGCCATCAGACCAACTCCCCACCTGGAGTCACAGCTAGGCATCTAATGCATCTCTCTCTCTCTCTCTCTCTCTCTCTCTCTCTCTCTCTCTCTCTCTCTCTCTCTCTCTCGACTCCTACTCTTCAGGTGGATCCTTCAGTGAGGAGACAGAACAAAAGTTTGAACACTTTAGTGGACTCCTAAATAACCAGCTTTCTGTGCAGTAAAGACTTGGAGCCAGGTGTGGTGACTCATGCCTGTAACTCCTGCACTCAGGCTGAAGCAGGAGGGCTGCCACAAGACTGCCAGCCTAGGCTTTAGACCAAGAGTCTATCTTGAAAAAAACCAAAAGGGAAAAAAAGAAGAAAAAAAAGACTCATGGTTACCTCCTGACTTCAGGTGACACAACGTCTCCCCAGGGGACATATCCATCACCACAGTCCAGCTGGCCAGACCCGGCTGAGAGGAAAGGTGCTCCCTCATTACCAGGTGCTGCTGCCTGACCCTGGGCCCCTCCTCAGGGGCAGGGGCTTTGACACATGGCTGTGGGAGCTGGTGACAGCCTGTCACCAGCTTATCCCATTCAAGCTTTGGCCTATCCCAAGTGTGACATCATCACGCTCTGCAGAGTGGGTCATTTTCTTCTGAAAATGTGGCAGATGTGAACTTATCAACCCCAGAGGTGGTCAGGCCGAATCCCATTTCTCCCCTTCCTTATTCATTCTGGAAAACTTGAATATCTAGACCTTTGTATTAGGAACTTTTCTCATTGCAGGACACAATTCCTGACAAAACCAAGTTAAGGAAGGGTGGGTTTATTTTGCCTCATGGTTTTGAGGACACAGCCCCTTGTGGCAGGGAAGGCACAGCAGCAGGATTGTGAGGCATCTGGTCTTAAACTCACTATACAACCAAAGATGACCTGTCTTCTGAGTGCTGGGATTACAGTGTGCCACCATGCCATTTTATGCAGTGCTAGGGATCAAACCCAGGGCTTTCTACATGCAAGACAAGCACTCCAATCTAATAATTATAACTGCTTTCTCAGCAACTTTAAACTTGTTCATACTTTTTCATACCATACACATTTTTAATTACATCTTTCTGTTCCAATTGTGACTTTTTTTTACTGTAGACCTGAATAAGAGCAATGAGCAGTAACCATACTGCAGGCTGAATGCTAGAGTGTCTAAAAATTTCCTCCACTAACCAAATTAGTCCATCACTTTTGAGTTCAAGCTCACACAAGTTCTCAGGACACAGGCAGAATACAGCTAGATTCTTTGCCAGGCAATAGCAATGGCTTCTAGCCCAGTTCTAGTCCTTGTTCCCAACAAAACCTCACGAGCCAGGTATCCCCCGTGTACACTTCCCACAGCATTCCGGTCTTTCAGACTCCCACTAGAATGGCCCATTAAACTGTTCACAGCATTCTAGGACTTTTCTAGCCCAAAGTTCTAAACTTTTCTACATTCCTCCCTCAAACCAGTTCCAAACTCCTAAGAACCATGTTTATTACATCAGTGATTCCACTCTTGACACCAATTTCCCTTATTAGTTACTTTTCTCGTTACTGTGACAAAAGCAGCTTAAGGAAGGTGCATTTTAGGAAGGCTGATAGTTTGAGTCTCCTAGTGGGAAAGGTGTGGTGGCAGGTGTGTGAGATGGCTGGTCGCATTGTGTCCACAGACAGGAAGCCGGGGAAGATGACTGCTGGTGCTCAGCTTGCTTTCCTCTTTTTATTTGGCCCAAGACCCCAGCCCATGGAATGGTGCTACCATTTAGGGTGGGCCTTCCCTCTTCTATTAAACCTTTCTGGAAACACCCTCATAGACACCTTCAGAGGTATGTTTCCATGGTGATTCTAAATCCCACCAAGTTGACAATCAAGGTTAACTATTACAACCTCTATTCTAATTATACCAACTTCTCTATTCTGTTCAATTGTCTCATTTTTAAAAATATGTGTGTGTGTGTGTCTTAAGCACATTGCAGGTGCCCTCAGAGTGCAGAAGTAATCAGATCCCCTGAGTTAGAGGAGATTGTGAGCTACCCAACATGGGTGCTGGGAACTGAATTTCAGTCCTCTGCATGAGCAGTACATACTTTTAACCACTGAGCCATTTCTTTAGCCCCTGTAGTAATTTTTAAATACAGTAGTCAAGTCACACATTCCAAGTCTCCAAAGGTTTGTTTGAAGATTTGTATAGTAATGAGACAGGACACAAAAAGGAGATTATGGGGACAGGGAAGAGGCTCCTCACCCAGAGTCTGGTTGTAACTCTTGCCAGCTGAAAGTCAGTTAACGTTTGCTGTCAATACTGACATAAAGACAGTGTTCCTTCTATAGAGATATTTCAAGTAAGGATGTAAAAGTAGCAATGAATCATGCAAGGCCTGAGTATAAATGGCCTTTCTCCTTTCCTAGCTGTAAACTTGTAATTTTCTAGGAATCTCACCAGAAACCCCATCTACAGTAAAAAGTACATCTTAACCCTTATGCCACCTTCAGGACATGGTTTTGCCTTATCAGGTTACAATCTATCCAAGTCACCTCTGTAGCCACCCTATAGCCTCACTTTCAAAAAGGGGAAGAAAGCCAGGTGTGGTGGCACACACCTTTAATCCCAGCAATTTGAAGGTAGAGGCAGGCAGATCTGAATTTGAGGCTAGCCTGGTCTATACAGCAAGTTCCAAGCCAGTCAGTGCTACATAGTGAGACTGTCTCAAAACACAAGTTGGGAGTGGAGAGATTTGGAGGTGAAGCTTAGAAATTCATCAAAAGCCTCTAAAATCCTATGTACGGTGACCGAGACACTTAGTTTCTGTGAGAAGCCCACGTCCAGCTCTCAGGTGTACTCTCTTTCCCTGAGCACCTCTTAACTCCAGTAACAAATTTATATTTAAAATCATTTTAATAAACTTTAACTCTGCTTCATACCAGCTCAATACATCTCTGGCAAAGTCAAGGATCTGGGGGTCTCTGAGGGGGAAGAGAACTCTTCAGGCTGCCAGTGGTAGTGCTGAGCACCAATGACAGGTCCAACTTGCAGTACTGTTCTTGTCGCTGTGTCGAATACCCAACAGGAGTGACTTAGGGAGATAGGATTTTGGTTCGTGGTTTGAGGGCAGGAAGATTGATACTGTGGCAAAAGAGCAGTAGGCTGCTTGTTCACATCTCAGTGGACCAGAAAGAGGGAGAATGCCAGTGCTCATCTGACTTTTCTGATTACATGGCCCAGGACCCCAACCCACAAGATGGTGCTAACACACATTCAGGGTGGGTCTTCACGCCTCAGTTGAAAATGCCCTCAGACATACCCAGAAGTCTGCCTCCTACAGGATTCTAAATCCAACCAAGGTGACAATAAAGATCAGCCATCACACAACTTTTATGTACAATATTGGTTTTGCCTATAGCTATGTACTACTGTGTTAGTGTTTTGTTGCTGTGAAAACTATCTCCTGGGGAAACAATTTAGAAGGGGGAAATTTCTTATCTGGCTCATGGTTTCAGTTCATTGTCAGCTGGCTCCACGTTACTGGGTTCATGATGAGACAATGTCAACCATGGGTTATTGATCCAGTAATGCTATCACCTGGGTCCTGGGTGACAAGGACAATTACCAAACCCATTTCACCACACATATGTACTTAAAGCCTAGAGAGAAAGGTTCCTGATACATACCTTGATTTTATCTGAACCACTGCCGTGGACTCATAGCTTCCTATGTCCAGGAGTGTCACATGTTTATAGTTTCACACCTACATTAATGGTCCCTGTGTCCCCCAAATCCCCTAAAGTCCTGTGTGACCTGATGGGCTGCTCCACTACAGGCTGCAGCCCTGAGAAAGACTGGGCCGCCCAAACTGCAGCAGAGATCAACTGTGGCCTTTCTTAAACAGCTGCTATTCACTGAAACTTGATAAGGACACAGGAGTGAGTCAGGACCAGTCAGGGCAACTAGAGTAACAAGGCAGCTTCCCAAGGAAGTGAGTGTGCATCAGCAGAGCAGGGGCTCCAGCCTTCCTTAGAGGCTCCTCCTGTGTTCAGGGTGTGCTGGCCTCCAGCAAGTTCACAATAACGCCAAAGCTCCAAAGAGGGCTACAGTGCCTCCAACTCTTCACCTAAGCCAGAAGAGAAGAGGGTACTGGTCTGTCCCACTGCTGCTGCCAGGTGCTCCTGTGGGAAAACTCAGCATGCACTTGGTCTCACCTCTTGCAAGGTTTGACCTCTTATTTCTGCAAGGAATCCTAGTAACCCATACCTACAAATAACACCCGAGCACAGCCATACCCACAGCTGCTCCACACAGGATGACAGGAGACTAGGCAGGTGGCATAGAGCAGGTGCAACCTACCTCCTTCCCCAAATGAGCCACTTGTGCACAAAGGCCCCCAAAGCTCAGATGGGATCCTCCAGACAAGGTAACCTGGTCTTCAGCAGTCAACAGATGGAGAGAGATGGGACAGCACCCTCTAGTGTCCCTCTGAGACTAGACTTGGAAGCAATCATTAGAACAATTTTAAATTTTTATTTTTTCAAAATTTCTGGGACTAGATCAACTAAAGTCTACCACACCCCCACAGTAGCTCCAGTACTGGCAAGGGGCTGTCCTGGTGCCTGTAAAGGCGTGTGGTGTGGGGGGCCCAACCTACTCTGGACGCCGGGCCTGGGGCCTCAGGGTGGCAGGAGACTCCGGGCAGCAGGCAGCTCTTTCTTTCTGTTGTGTTGGAGCCCCAAGGCCCGGGCCACCAGCCTGCGGGCCACTGCGGAATCTGTCTGTGGTCTCTCCTTCACCAGCCGCAGGAGCTCTGGAAGGAAGCCCCAGTGGGTGAGACTTGGATTCAAGGCTGGGGCTGCCTCTCCTAGTGACAGATCAGCCTTGGAAGCCAGATGAGCCCATGTCTAATAACATGGAGCTGAGGCTGGGGGCCCGTCTGTGCCCACAGCGACCAGGGCTTGTGAGCAGGACTGAGAAGACTCCAGGCCTCCCAGTGGGATCCTGACACAAACCTACCCCTACCTGTCAACCTTGTTTCTCTGTGCACTGGGGGTGAGAAAAGGCAAACCTGTCACCTCCTTGATCTCTGGGGCCCTTTGGGAGGAAAAACACCCAGGATGGGACACCCAGGGCTCTTGACCAAGACAGAATGTTTATTGTTCCTAAAAAGTCTGAGACAAGGGCCACGTCACTACCCACAGGGCATGAATGGCTTTGGCTGGTTTCCTTGTTGCCAGTTCTGATGACCATGACCTCATAGTCATAGAAAACTGACTTCGAAGAGTCCCACCATGCTTTCTGGAACAAGAAAGGGAAGGAGCTAACATTTATTCAGCACCACATGTCCCCCGGCTCCTGTACAATTCGCTTTTTTTTAACAGGGGAAAATGACTCACTCAAGGTCAACTTAGATAAGTGACAGAGCTAGGGTCCCACCCAGAGCTGACCCCAAGGACTATACTTTTCACCCTTACAGGGTATGGTACCCATGGCCTTCTAGAAGGAAGGCTGGGCTTCTCATAGAGCAATGCCCAGGGGAGGGAGTGAGCTGGAGGGCAAACCCGGACAGCAGATAGCCTAGACTCTCTCCAGGCCCTTCTGGAGGGCGGAAGCATTGCCCCATTGGCTACTGTAGCCCAGGCTCCTGAAGAGCAAGAAACTGCAGAAAGAAGAAACCAAACACATGAGCACACAGACTCCCCGCTGAGGGACAGGCTCCATCTTACTTGGCCTCTGCAAGGCTTTGAGCTTGGACTGCTTGGTCCCCTGCGTGAGCGGCCGGATCTTGAGTACAGAGAAATCCCTTGCCAGAGCCTCGGCAGCTGGGGAAAGGAATATCAGTAGTTCTTTCTTGTGCTATGTGAACCCCTCCCCCCTGAGGTCTGGGGCACATGCATCACCCCAAACTGCTTCAGCCACTCCACAAACCCAGCCCGAGCTGGGGAAGGTGGCTCTGCCTCTGCTCTGGTGAGGAAACAGGACAGTCAAGCTTGCCTTGTGCCACAGATTCCTGCAGACCTGTACAAGGATGCTGCCTGTGACACAGCCCAGCATTTTCACAGCCAGAGGAGCAGGCTCTGCTTTGAAAGCCAGAGCTTCAGCCAGACTCTTTCCACCACCACCCCCAGATCCCAGAGGCACCATCACTCCCTGCCCACCCACACTAGATTGTGGTACACCTGGGCTATTCAGTGCAGGGCAAGGACACATCAGGACCTAGCTGAGTTGCTGTATAGATGAGGAAACGGAGGCCAGGGCATGACTTGCTCTTGCCATAGTGTTTGTGACAGGGCCCAGGCGACAGCCAAGGCCGCCTCCAGTCAGAGCTCATTCTTCCATGGTCCTCAGTGACTTCCTGTCTTTCTTCCCTTTCTCCCTTCCAGGGGTTCTATGTTTGTTAGTTTTTGTCAACTTGTTTCAAACTAGTCACCTGGGAAGAGGAAACTGTAACTGAAGAATTTCCTCCACTGGATTAAGCCTATGGCCATGTCTGTGAGGCATTTACTCTTAGTTATTAAATGATGTTGAGGACTCAGCCCACTGTGGGTTGTACCATCCCTAGGCAGTTGGGCCTGGACTGTATGAGAGCTGAGCAAGCCAGGGAAAGCAACGTTCCTCCATGATCTCTGTTTCAGTTCCTGCCAGGTCCCCCCAGTGATGGACTATGTATGTGGACATGTAAGCCAAACAAACCCCTTCTTCCTCTAGTTGGTTTTGGCCAGTATTTTATCACAGCAGTAGAGAAGCAAACTAGAACAGGCTCCCTCTCCAGGGCTTTAAAGCCCTGCTGTACCCCATTCCCTCTGCCCCACCCCAATATCAGGCTCTCTGAGGACCAGGCTAAACCCAAGCAGTATGCTCCTAGCTCTGATGTTCACAGACCATGGTTCAGGATGGAGGGTCTTATTTATAAGGACACCCAAAGCAAGCAGCGGGATGGCAGGGACAGCATGGGACAGAGGCTGAGGAGAGACAAGAATGCCGGAGTCAGTCAGGAGGCTGCATGACTCCCTACCTTCCACAGAGAGAGGCTCTGTAACCACCACAGACCTCAAGCCTTCTGTCTGAGAGAATGGGGTGATGAGACCCACACCTGAGGCTGGAGTGAAAAATGAGAAGGCAAAGCCCTGTGAAGCCGCCTGCGGAGAATGCCTGTGACCCAGAACACCTGTTCTTCTTGATGGTTCGTTCATTCAATATGTGAAGGAAGGACCTATGACTTGGCCCATGCCACCTACTCAGGAAATGTCACTGCCCCTAAAATCTCTGCACTGAAGCCACAACAGAAGAGAAAAAGCCAAAGATTTCCTGAGAGTTTCCTGTTTCCTGGGCCTGCGCGCCCCAGCACCCAGACTGTGGTTCAGGCTGGGTGGACTCAGGGTGGCCCTTCACCCAGGGAACCCAACTGCCTCTGCTCTCAAAGGTGGTAAGGGAGGGGTGGGGCCCACCAGGAAGCTGCCTTACCTGAAGCCTGGCAGGGAAAGATACCAATGGCATGAGTGTCATCTACCCACTGGATCTTGAACCCCTTCTCTCTGTGTGGGGAGAAGACAGGTCAAACCCATTTCCCCCAGATCCTTCAGGCAAGGTCCCTCCCGACTCTGACCCCCAAGACACATTCTGTCAGCTTCAGAGAGACAAATGTAACCCTGTGAAAAGGTGAGAAGGGTCCCCCAGTCAGTATCTAGAACTGAAGAAGACAGTGCTGGAAGGCTTGTATGGATAAGGCCAAGGGCAGGAAGGCTTCCCCTCAGACACTGTCACAGCCAGGCTGGGCCTGGGTGCCAACGGGCTATGACAGACCAAGTGACCCAGTGGCATATGGACAGCTGTGTTCTGAGCAACTGATGGAAGGTCTTGTGGTCCCAGCAGGCATGTGCACATGGAGAATGTGGTCGAGGTCTAGGGTCTTCTGAATGTGTCACCACCCAAACATCAGCCCTTCCCTTCCCCAGGCATAGTCATTAAGGTGAACTGCCCAGGAGCAAGGAGCCAAGGCGGCCATCTACCTTCAACCTTTCTCAAGTGTTAAACACTAGGGGAGGGGCAGGCAAGCATTCCTAGAAGGGAAGGGCTATCTAGCTCCTCCCAGTCTCCCCAACATTCTTCAGTACTCACTGGAACTCAGAGAAAGTTGCCAGCAGGTCCTCGGTCTTGAGCGCTGGCTTAAAGTCATAGATCTCCACCACATGGGCCAAGTCCCTCTCCCCAGGCAGCTCCTCTGTGAAGGAGGATGTGTCCAGGTGGATCTTCTCTATCTCAATCTCCTTCTCTGTCAGGTTGGCTGTGATCTGGGAGTGACCAGACCCTTTGGCAAGGGGAGCTTTGACACAAAGGGCCCCAATTACTGCTTTTAAAACCACTGACACTTCTGGGGGAGGTGAGAGCCTATGTGGTAAGAATCTGGGTATAGCAGCTTGGTCCCAGAATAGGCCAGGACAGTCAAAATAGAGACGTTTTAGGGGAAGGTATTTGGTTGTATGGAGCCCACACTGGGTGGCTGTTATCTGTAGCCACTGTGTTTCATCTGATCCTAAATATACCCCTTTACTAGGTATACAGAATGGGTCCCTAGGAGATGGAAAAACTGAGGGGCAGTCAACTGCCCCTGGTTGGTCCCAGTCAACCTCAGGGACAGACACAAATGCAATGTGTAAGACAAAGCTCCAGGCAGGAGGGTATTTTCTCCAGCACAGAACAAAGCTTGTACGTATGCATTCTGTCTCCACTACCTTGTGAAACATCTTTTACCCCCTTTTCTTTTTCAGATGAGGAAACAGGCTTTGAAAAGCAAATGATTTGGGGGCTGTAGAGGTGGCTCAGCAGTTAAGAGCACTGGCTGCTCTTACAGAGGACCAGGGTTTGATAGCACCCACATGGTGGCTAACAACCATCCATAACTCCGGTTCCCGGGGATCCAATGCCCTCTTCTGACCTTCATGGACAATGCACGACTTGAGTGCATTTACATTACATATGGGCAATACACTCATACATATAAAATTAAAATAATAAATAAAATATTTTTTAAGAAAGCAAATGGCTTGCCTAGGGTCAACTAGGTCCTGAATGGTTGGGATAGGACCTAAATTTACCACTCCTCCCCCAAGTTCCCTGAGGGACCCCTAACACCCAATACTCAGGCCTGAGCCACCCTGAACATACCACCAGCAATCCATCCTCACTGCCACCCCAAGGCCCTCTGTCCCATACACCTGAGGCCACACCCACTTTGCCTCCACCCTCCCCTTTCTGGGCTCAAGGGCTCATCACCTCTGGCAGCAGCTCACTAGAATCATCATGGTCTTTGTCATCATCATCCTCCTCCTCCTCCTCCTCTTCTTCCTCATCCACCTTCTCTTCCTCCTCAACCATCTTCTCTTTCTCCTTTCCCTCTACCTTCTCCGTCTCTTGGGCCACCGGGCTCTGCTCCAGCTGACTCCTGTTCTCCTCCTCCACGGCCAGCTGAGGGCTGGACCCCAGCTGTGTGGCTATCTCCACACCTTGTTCCTTCTCAGAGACACTCTCAGGCCCTGAGGGCTCAGTGGCACCCAGCTCCAACAGTGGCTCGTTTGTGCAGCCTGGACCTGGGCCCTTCAGGTCCTCTGTTCCCTGAGTCATCAACACGGGAACTCCCTGATCAGCATCAGGATCCCCAGCACCAGCCCTTCCAGGCTCTTCTGAAACTCCATCAGCTAGGGCCTCTCCTTCAAGCCCTGGAATGGAGGGAACCATTGGTTCTTCTTGCCTGCGTAGCACCCGGGGCACATACAACGGCTGGTCTGGCTTGCGTCCACGATGCCACCTGCCACTGCGAGCACCTCTGGAACCAGCAGCTGCTCCCCGATGTGAGGCAGACCGAGGACCATGGTACTTGCCAGGGTGGGAGGCAGGAGGGCGACAGGGCCCAGAGAGGCCATCTGAATTGGGTACCCTGGAGCAGGAATAGACACCTCAGGGCATGTTTGGGTCCACAGCAAAATGGCTTACTGGAGCCATCTACTGTTCAGACACAACACTGTCAAGTCAGCATTAGGCAAAAGCCAAAACCAAAATGACCCTCAAAAATCCCTTATAAAGGCATCATGGCAAAGGCAGAATGCCACCCTGACCAGCACAAAGCAGCTTGCTCTTGAACACGTCAATTAAATCAGTGGTAACTGAATCTTTGGTACACATCAAGTAAGGTTAATATTTGCATTTAGGAGCTGTTATTAGGAAACATGCAACTTCAATCTTTAGAGTCAGATTTCCATCGATAAGATGTCCTGGTTATCTGGGAAAGAGGTAATCTCAAGTGAGAAATGGCCTTCATCAGACTGACCTCTGGGGCAGTCTGTGGGGCATTTTCTTAATTGCTGGTTGATGTAGGAGGGCCCAGCTCACTGTGGGTGGTGCCCACCCTGGGCATGTAGGCCTGGGCTGTATATGCAGCTGAGCAAGCCAGTAAACAGCATTCCACTGTGGTCTCCGCTTCAGTTCCTGCCTCCAGGTTCCTGCCCTGGCTTCCCTCAAAGATGAACTGTGATCAGGATGTGTAAGCCAAATAAACCATTTCCTCCTCAAATTGGTTTTGGTCAGAGCGTTTTGTCACAGCAATAAACAGACCAAACTAGTACAGATGTCCATCCTGTGCAATGCACAAAGGAACAGCAACGCTTATGGACTAACATGTGGTGTTTCCCTTGTAACAAGGGCTCTCTACAGAACATGCTCACAAAAAAGGGGAGCAGACACACCATCACTACTCTAATTGTGATATTGTGATCTTTGTTTCCTTTTCTGTCTCTCTGTCTCTCACACACATTCAGCCCAACATGGACAGCTGACTTAGCCAAGTCAGCAGCATCACTACTGAAGCAAAAGGCAGCCCTGACTTCATACACCTTGGGGTTCCTGGCTCTGGCTCTTGTCAACTCGACCCTCCCAGGGGCTGGCCAGCAGACCCAATCACCATAAAGAATCAATTTCTGAGGACCCTCCAAAGCCAGTAGAATACACACCTGATGTCCAAGTGACAGATGACTGTCCTCCTCTTCCAGCCCTCCCCAACTGAGAAGCTGCTCAAAAGATCAAAATTCTCTGCTGTTCTATGGATCAGGTACCGAAGGCGACTGGAGAGTGGGGGGAAAAGAAGAACCCTGGGAAAGAACCAGACCGAGTACTAAGCAGGAGCTCCAGGTCCAGCCCCTGGGCCTGATTCCTACCAAGTCCACTCCCAGGTTAATGGTGGCTTGACACCAGGCTCCGTATACCCCAGGGGGTCCCAGTCAGGCCGCAAGGGATGGGGGAATACAGGAAAGGTCACAGGGAGCTGCAGATCCCACCTTCCCCAGGGAAGAGGGGCGGGGACGACACGACCAGATTTCTGCCTTGGAGTGAAGCTCAAAATTACAAAGGAAAAGATGTGGCTGGAAGATAACTGCAGATATCAACACTAAAAGCCAAGCAAGATTAGGGCCTGCGCCAGCTAGTAACACGGGCGCAGTACCTGGGGGAGGGGCAAACCCTGCCTTTCTTAGCATTAAAGTCACTCCCTCATTCCCCGTACTTGGATAGCTGCTTCTGCAGCAGGAAGCGGTCCAGCTCCGCCTGGACTCGATGGACAAAGTCATTTTCGGCCGAGGAGAGGAAGACACCGTCCAAGCAGAGAAGGGCCAGGGTGACAAGTGGGTGAGCCTGTAGGGGTGGTGGACAAGACCTGGATCAAAACCCAGGCCCTGGGCGCGCCCGCAGCGGCAAGTGTCCTGGGAGCCTTTCCGGTCCAAGGCATCGAGGAGGGGGATGGGCGGCACGCCGGTCCAGGGCCGGGGTCGCTCCCCACCGCACCGCGGGCCGGCGCCTAGCCTGGCCTGGCGTCGCGCGGCGCGGGCAGCTCCCGGCCGCCACCCACGGGGCCCGCCCGAATCACCCAGTCGCCCTTTCCACCCGCGATCCAAGACCCGGGCCCGCGCCCTCGATACTCGCAGCACTCACCGCAGCAGCCCTGAACGCTGCCGCCACGCTCAGGGTCCCCTGCACCCCTGCGATCTGCTCCCGCCGCAGCGCCACCGCGCGGCCTGGGGGAGGCATCGTACGTGCCGTAGGGGGCGAGTTCTTGTCCTCTGCCCCTAACCCCCAAATCACCTACTGCTTCCATAACGATGCGACCAAATCATCATCATCATCAATATCGTCATCATCGTCATTATTTTGGTTTATTGAAACAGGTTCTCACTATGTAGCTGTAACTGACCTGGAACTCACTATGTAGACCAGGCAGGCCTTGAACTCACAGAGATCCCCCTGTTGAGTGTTGGGATTAAAGGTGTACACCACCATGCTCAGATTAGAAATTCGTGACTCACAAAGGTGTAATGGCTTGTTTAGAGTTCCATCAGTAGATTATAGACTTGCTTTGAGTCTTTTTTTGGGGGGGCAAGGATCAATTAAGGTTCACAGACACACATGAGCAGACGCTAGATGCTAGATTGGGGTGACTACGTTTTCTGATTTTAGATTTCCCTGGCCAGGTACCTAACAGAGGAATAAAGAGGGAGGATGTTTCTGAGCACTGGATAATCCAGCAGCTTTTACCCTTCTTCCTCACTGAGCTCTTGTCACAAACAAGTCACTGACAAGGTGTGCTTGTTTGTCAGCAACTGGGTCTGTAAGCCACTAACATCATGATTTACAGGTCAACTTATCCTTCCCTGCCCCACCCAGAAATCATTCCAGTGTCCACCTTAAATGGGCCTTGAAATTCTTGCCAGCAGACGGCCTGTGGGATGGGCTACTGTCATCCAGGAGATCAGGACTGGAATCCCAACCTTCGTCATCCCGAATCGAGATGCCTAAAGCAAGCAGAGCCCTCAACTAAGAACATGTAAGACACATGTTTGGCCCCAAATGTGGGGACACTGCGAGTGGACACTGCAGTGGAGTATAGCCAGATGTAGAGGGAGAGCTGGCCTTCAGGTATGGGGATAGAGAAATGCAAGAAAATAAGATAATTGTTTGCTTTCTTGTTGTTTTCCCAAAAGGATTTCTAAAGAGGACAAGACAGTCTTTTGTAAATGATAATGCAGTTACAAAACCTGCCTTTTTAGATACCTACCAATAAGAACCAAAAAAGACCTAAGTTAAACATAAAACTGATTACAGAGAGAAATCATGAGTCCTTGGGATGCATGGGTGTGACAGGAGACCTGACAGATACCTTGCAGATCTTGAGGGTATCCAGCACAGAATGGACATTCATGTGGGCTCTAACCACCACCTTTGAACCATACTGGCTCCAGGAGATGGGAGTAGGCCACATGATACCATCATTTATCTGACCAGGCTTCCTTGACGGAGAGGCAGTCTAGGAACCAAATTGGACCTTGGAGAAAAATCCATGTTAGCTAGAAAAACAAAGGCCTAACTTCCTCATCAGACATGGTCTGTCTCCCCACTGTCAGAACAAATCCAAACCCCAGGAAACAAGCCATGTTCCCAGCCACTGGGCCACGGTGGAGATGTTTCAGGAAAGCCAGAGCTGCCATAGAAAGCAGCTCTCAGAGGAGAGCTGCCATGAACACTGCTTCTGCCACACTCTCTTCAAGTAACTCAGGCAGAGACAAAGATCTCAGTATCTAGGCTCCACCGGGGTATTGTTTAAATATGAACTGTCCCTCATAAGTTCATGTGCCTGAACACTTGGTCCCCTACTGGTAGCACTGTTTGGAAGGCTGTAGAACCTTCAGGAAGTGAAGCTTCACTGGAGGAAGGGATGGGATTTATAAGCCCATCTTCACTTCCTGTTCATTCTCTACTTCCTGACTGAGGTGGCAAAGTGACCGCCACCTCACACTTCTGCCACTATGCCTTCCTACAACAAAGACTGAGTGCCCCTGAAGAGAGCAAATCAATTCTTCCTTCTTTAAATTTCTTTTGTCAGGTATTTTATGACAACAATGAAAGTAACTAGGGTCTGGAGAGATGGCTCAGAGGTTAAGAGCACTGGCTGCTCTTGCAGAGGACCTGGGTTCAGTTCCCAGCACCCACATGGTGGCTAAGAACTCCAGTCCCAGAGGATCCAATGCCCCTCTTCTGGCCTCCATAGGCACTGCACAACATGGGTGCACTTACATACATGTAGGCAATATGCTCATACACATAAAATAAAATAAAAATAATAAAAATATTTCCTCTATTATAAAGACGCTACTAGTCCATAATACTTTAGGCAGAATCAAAGGAAAAAAATTGAGTGCCTTGTAGCTTTCCATAGCAACTCATATGCAAAAAGAAAATGGAGCCATCTGTAGAATTTTAAAGGGAAAATTATAAACACCAGAAAATTCTATAAACTGTGATGTCGATAGACAGTCTCAAACCTGCAGCAACTCTGGAAACATCTTTGACAGAAATTCTACCTCAAGAAACAGCAATCCTAACGTCAGACTTAGTGATTTGTTGGGGCACACCCTTAATCCCAGCACTCTGGAGGCAGAGGCAACAGATCTCTGTAAGATCGAGGCCACCCTGGTCTATATAGTGAGTTGCAGCCAGCTGGGGCTACAGGGAGACCGTCTCAAAAAAATAAAGAGAAATAGGTCAGTCTAAGGTGGAGGAAACACCTCTCACATCTTGCACAGCTCACTTCTCAAGCCTTTTTGTAAAATCCACAAATAACAGCAATTAGTTCTCTAATGACCTAGTCGATTTATTTGAGAATAGATCATCTAGACTGGTCTCTTTGACAGCCTTCAGCTAATCACCATAACTGGGAAAACAGGCTTCTCTCCTCCTGGCCTAGTACCTTTCTCCCTCTTCTTTCCCCCTTTTCTTTAATGAGTTACTCTACTTCCCCACTGCCTTGCTTTTGTTCACTGATAAGAATCTAATGACATCTCCTAGGTGGCTGAGTGTGCTTGTAACTTAGTGCTACGGTTTGAATATGGTCTGTTCCCTCAGTGTTCCCAAAGTCTTACATTAGTGGCAGAAAGAATCTACGAGGAGCTTTTGGTCGATGAGGTGTAGGACGCATGATTGAAACCTAGTGGCTTCACAAAAGGGAATGGATGGCTCATTGATAAAGTGCTTGCCACACAACCATAAGGACCTGAGTTTGGATCCTCAGCACTCATATAAAAAAGCAAGGCATGGCTGTAATCCCATCAATGGGGAGGGGGTTCTGGGTGGAGACAGGAGGATCTCTGGGGCTCGCTGGTTGGTCAGTCTACCTGATTCAGTGAGCTGCAGGTTCAATGATAGACCCCATCTCAAAAATTAAGGTGAAGAAGGATTGAGGAAGACACTTAATGTCCATCCTTGGCCTCCACATGCACACACACACACACACACACACACACACACACACACACACACACACACACAAATGGGAATAAAAACTCTAAAGCTTAGAAATTTGAGATCAAAATTATATGTGGGGTGTGTGTGTGTGGTACATGCATGCTTGTTTGTGTAGTGTGTCCATGTTCACTGAGACCAAATTATCATTCAGGGCCTCCAACATGGCTCATCAGGTAAAGGTGCATGCCGCCAAGTTTGACAACCTGAGTTTGATCCCTCAGACCTACACAGTGGCAGGAGAGAACTCCTGAAAGTTGTCCTCTGACCTCTACTCGTGTGATAAAAAATTATCATAAAGAATATTTTTTAACCCCCAAATTCAAGAAAATCAATTACAAAGTACTTCTAAGCAAGAACTATTTCCCAGAGGCAGAAGTGGAAGGAAAAAAAAGAACATGGAAAAATATGTATTAGTTATTTTTCCTGTTGGCTGTCAAGTGCCTGACAAGTAGTAGTAAATACGGGAGGAAAGGTTTGTTTTGGTTTATGGTTAAGGGCTGCAATCCATCAGGGCCAGCCTCTAGTGACCATTTCCTCCAGGGAGGCACCATGTCCTCTAGGTTCAACAACTTGCCAAACCAGCAGCACCAGCTGGGGACAAGTGTTCAAACCTGAGCCTCCGGGGGACACTTCACATTCAAACAACAGCAGAGGTACAGGAGGCTGTAGAGAAAGGGGAAGAGTTGTGGGGAAAGGGAAGGCCGGAAAAGGAGAGGCCAGAGGGAGAAGGAAGAAGAATTCTGCCCTTCCCTGTGCTACCTGTTTGCCTTCTGTAGTATCTCCAAAATCCCAGATGGTTTTGTTGTCCTTCAGTTCCTAAGCGACCATAGCCCCAGCCTGGCCTGAGTTCTAGACCCTTCTTAAAGGACCAGAGTAAGTAGTGTGTGCTTGTAACCCCAACACTTAGGAGGCGATGGCAGGATCTCAAATTTGAGGCCAGTGATGGACTGTGGGAGCTCACACACTGATTTTCCCAACACTAGGTACCCTGTACCTCAATCCTATCAGCTCACTAGTTCTGACATGATGCTAGGTGGCACTATGGCCATCCCATTTTACAGATAAAAAACTACAGAGAAGGCTAATTGGTCAATGTCACACAGCTAAGTGGCAGAGCCATGTGCCTTGTTCTAGTTTTACCACACTGGAGAGACTGACCCAGAGGTACCCTTCGGGTAGGGCGTGTCCCTGCAGTAGGACTCCCATGGCTGAAACTGACCATCACTATTACAGCTGAGGGAGACAAAAGCCTGGCAGACCTTCTTGCTAAATGTAGACCACAGGATTGATTTAAGGCTAAGTCCAGTAGATTCTGGAGGCGGTCTCCCTGGCAAAGCGGGTACCTGCCCAGCCCCATAGCAGGACAGAGAGGCATGAGGCAGCACACTAAGACCCTGTAAAAACACACCCTGTCTTACCACTCTGGTCTTCCCATGACAGGTATGCAGCGAATTTTCCCAGCAGCTCAGACAGCAGGAGGCAAAGGGCATCACAAAAGCAGGTAAGGAGGCTCACCAAACCTAGTTCTTCCTGGAGCTCCTGACACTTCCCCAGCTCATCCCACCTCTCTGCACCCTTTGTCAATCAGTGCCAACCTTTCAGACCCACTCTCCAGCTATTGAGTCTGCTCCCCATGATCTAAGCCAACGGGCCAAGATGCAATGGCAATCTTGATCTTGAGCTCCCTACGTTTTCCTATAGGCTCACCTGCCAACTCACCTGGAGCTGTGCACCCAGTGCTCTGTCCCAAAGTCTGTCTCCTCCACAGGGCACAGCAGATGCCATGCACGGAGGAGGCACTGAGAACCACTGGTGCCAACTACAATATGGACAATCACATGAACAGCCTGGCCCACTGAGTATAGAGAACAGGCCCTGGACGACAGCATGACAAACGGCACAGTCCGCGGCCAGCAGGAGCCGGCAACCGTGCAGACAAGCTTTCAGCTTGGGAGTTCATCACACAACTAGTCCACATTCTCCAGAGGCCTGGGGTGGAAAAGCCCAAGTGTGGATATATGTGGGACTGGGGGAAGCAAGAAGGAATGAGAAACTTGACACAACCTGCTGGGCATGTGTGATCCCAGCACTCGAGGCTGGAGGCAGGGGGACCATGAATTCAAGGCTAGTCTCTGCTACGTGAGACGCTATCTGGAAAAAAAAGACACCTGCCACAGCCTGAGGAAAAGACAAGAACTCAAACTGGTATTTTTCTCTTTTAATTATTTACCAGATTAAAAAAGAAAAAAAATAGTGATTGTTTCTCTTCACCCCCAACATTTCTGTTCACCAAAGCCAAATCGGTTGAACCGTGATTCGCACTTAGGAGCGACATCCTCCCCTCCGCTCTGCGCCTCCTCCAGCAGGAGGGGCAGAGCAAAGGGCTCCAAGCAGTCCTTGTCCCTGGGCAGCAGAGTGGCTGTCATCTTTCTTTTCCACGCAGCCACCAGAGCATTCACACCTACCCTCTCCTGCCTGTCCCTCATACTTGCTGCCCCAGTTCATGGAAGGCAGTGAGATGAACCTGCAGGAGGCGGGGACAGGGCAGAGCAGGGCTGGGACGGCACACAGCAGACGCAGCAGGTCACAGCCACCTGCTCCTATTGCACATTGTGGCTCAGGTCCCCTGCCCTGAGCTGTGGGCTACACGGTAAGATGCTTTCCCTAACAGGAGCTGGTCAGTGTGTGCCAGACTCAAGAAAGGGGAAGTGTGGGTCTGTGTGGCTTGTTTTATACATGTTAATTTGTTATTTCATGACGGGCCAAAAACGAAAAGCATATGGGGAGTTGGGCATGGTGGGGCATGCCTTTGATTCCAGCAGAGGCAGAGACAGGCAGGTGTCTGTGAATTCAAGGCCAACCTGGGCTATATAATGAGTTCCAGGTCAGCCAGAATTATACAATGAGACCCTGCCTCAAAAAAATAAATAAATAAAAAAAAAAAAAACAGCTTATGGAGTTTAGACACCTCGGGGCCCTGTAGTTTACCTGGGCTTCTCCCCATTCAAGCTCAAAAATATGCGATGAACCCTTTCCCCACCCCCATCAGCAGATCAGCTTCCCCCTAAGATGGAGAGGCTGTGGCCACCAATCACGTAAGCCCCTTCCCACTGCCATGACCCTGAACCACTCAGGGCACCCTGTTGTTCTGAATACCTGGAGAATTGCACAAAACATAGAGAGAAACATCTTGTAGACTGTCTCTCTGTGAAGTGTTAAACTGTTAAGTCCCCTGAATAAAACTCATTCAATCCCAATGAAAACAGCAGGACCATCTAACTGGCATTGCAGACCATAAATCTTTGTTTTAAAATCCCAGGGGGTGGAAGAGCAGGCTGACTTTGATGTGACAAAGTCACAAATCGTTCACCTTCATTGGCTGGAACAAAGCTGCTGGGTGAAGACAAACCTAACTGAGCCAATTGCAAGAACTGCAGGCTATGAGAGACGACAGGTCAAACACAACTGTATAAAGTGTGGCACTATAAAGACGAGAAGGCAGGGCCAAGACAGCAGCTGGGAGCACGCCTTCAGCAGGCTTCCGGAAGCTGTTCTGTCCTGTGGTGAGTGGCAGCATCCAGACACATCAGTGGTTCTTTCCTCCTCATCCAACAAATTCTCAGTGTTTCTCATTAAATAGCTATGTACACACACGAGGCTGTCTCTTTTACATGAGGGTCCTTCACTTGAGGTCCTACAATGGCTTTAGAGAGTCGGTTCCAATTGTCTTTTTGGAGATTTACTGCTTGGGACCAAACCTGCATAAAATGACAATATTTAATAAGATCTATGGCAAAAGTATCCTACAGCTTAAGTGACAGGGTCTTAAGATAACAAGCCTCCTTTGCAGGGCTTTGGCATGCAGGCAATCAGAGTACTTGGACCGGAACCCATCAATTCTAGGCCTGGCTCGTCTGTCAGCCAGAGAGCCAAATGTCCACCAGACACACACACACAGACACACACACACAAAAGCCATACCTCCCTCTGATAAGGACAATTTCTCAAGTTCTGCTTCAAGTTCAGCATCCAAGATCCTAGGGTTAGGCACACTGTTGGTATAAAGCATCTCATGGGGGCTGTTGGGCAGGTCCAAAGGTTCTTTGGTGGTATCCTGAAGGAGGATATCCAACTCCTTCTCCAGTTCCTCACTGTCAAAATCTGGAAGAGAGATGGCATAAGAACACATCAACCCTGGGGAAGAAATGAACCAAGGGATCCAGGATAGCTAGCTTGCACAGAAGCCCAGCTTCCTTACAGGCTGGTAGTCAGGTGAGTCGTGAGGCAAAGGGCCCCTTCAAGCACATCTTTATTCCTTCTCTACATGTAGAGCTGGGTCATCAAGTGGGTATATTCCACTGACCCCAGGGCCCTGGCCCTGCTTCCCCTTGTTCGGAGGGAGGAATGCCAGTCAGAAGCCTTGTGGGTATAGATGCTGGAGCATAGGAACCATCAGAACAACTATCAGGGAGAGAACAGCAAGTCCCTCCAACTCCCTACACAGGTAAGCCCCAGAGAGGGGCGAAGTCCATGAGCTAACCTTGCCTGGCCCAGGAAGTGAAGCCTCTCAGCAAGGATAGAAGAGTCCCCTTGTCAACTCACCTAAACCATTGGTCAACTCACCTAAACCATTGGTCACCCCACTGGCCAGTGTCTGAGAAACTTCATCCTGGGTGTCACACAGCTGTAAGATATAAGCACAAAGCCTTGAATGGGAATGGTGGCTCTGAGCAGCTCAAAGCCTTTAGGGGGAAATGTTCAGGGTTACAGAGATTTGAAAATCAAGGAAAGGTTCCTCAAGGGTACAAGGTTGAGTCAAATTTGGGATACTAGTCTGCAGATAAGTCAACTGTGTTCTCCATGAGTCTTTTCTGCATGGACCCCTCCCCAGGCCCTTCCTGTACCTCCTGGATCTGGTCAACAAGGCTCTCTGCCTTCTCCACTGTGACATCCTTCATGGAGAGTTTCAGGGCTCCCACCCCAGCTTGGTAGGCATTAAAAACCTAAAGAGAAGACCAGTTATCAGTGCAACATCTGCCAAAATACAGATTAACACTACTTTATCTCCACAAGCTAGCTTTGGGGTTCCTCTGGGCACCCAAGTATGATTTACCTCCCCCTACAGAGGCCTAAGAAGAACAGGAAAAGGCAACCCCAGCCACACCCTGAAAGAACCTAGGACTCCTCAAAATAGCAGGCCACAAGGGAGGGATACACAGCATGTGAAACTGGGACCACAGGGCATGGAGGGCTGTGCTACCATCTGGTCTGTCTGGGAGGCATAGATGCGGTCCAGGATGCCTTGAACAGTGTCCAGCTTGGCGTGCAGGGCCTCGATGCGCTTCTCTGTCCGTTGCTTAGCCTTGAGAGACCTCAGTGCCTAGGGGGCATAGAGACAGATCAGGGTAGAAAACAGCAGGCCAAAGGGCAAAAGCAAGACAGCCCCTCACAAGAGTGTCCCAGGCCTTCTCTTTTTTACAATATAAGTTCAGTGCCTGGACCACCTGCAGACACTCCTCCCTGAGCCCCAGGCAGACTGCTCTCTGAACGGCCAGGCCCCTGTCCCTGACAGTCTAGGAAACTATAAGGCTGCAGGGGAAGGGAGCTCACCAGTTGCTTCTTTCCAGCTCGGCATGCCCGGCGGGCTTCCTCTTTACATCTGTGGAATGAAGGACAGATGAAGAGGGCTATGCTATGACACAGGGTGGGGTAGGGCGGGGGCCTGAACGTTCAAGAGCAGCACTTAGTGCAGGTGGCTTCAGAACTGAGGGCCAACAATCCACTGCACCCCACAGCCAAAACGATGGCCACCAACACACCGCCAAGTCGCAATAAAGGCTTGAGCATCTGTGTATGGCAAGGCAGGCCGACAAAAAAGGCATTCTAGCCTCAGGGGGGATAAAGCTACAGATACTATCTTTCCGTGGTAGGAGACACAGGATTGGTCCTACACATCAAAGACCTGGACATGTCCCTTTGCTTCCCAACACTCCTGTGTTTCACTGAGAGATGGAGTGAAAAGTTCTAATTCAGTATCTTTTCCATTTCGAGCATCCCTGACTCCTACCAAGGAGGCCTGCGGAGGCCTTGCAAGGAAAGAACAGGAGTTCCACAACAAAGCTCTATGTAGGCACAGACTTACCTTACCATATTCCTGCCCCTCAGACAATGCTAGGCTTTGTAGGCACTGGCTAAATTGACACTGGTGTGCAGTAGTACATAAATATGACACTAACAGCTATAATCACTGGAGAGACTAGTGGGTTATATTTTTCTCCTTTATTTTCTGTTTTCCAAGGTTTCTGCATGGAGCAGCTAATGCCTTTGTATTAACAAATAACTTTTTTTGTATGCTGGAGATGAACCCATGGCTTCATGCATGCCAGGCAAGCATTCGACCAACTGAGATACACCCCAGCTGTTTTTTCTTTTTGAAGAGACCCAGACACCCATGTCTGGGGCTCCGTGCCATCCCGTGGGGTAGGAGTTACCTCTCAGCTTCTTGGGATAAAGACTCCACCTTGCGTGAGAGGAGCTGCTCACTCTGCATCAGCTGGTAGACCCCGACATCCACGTCGTTGACAGGAGACACCTTGGCATGTGGCCCCCGGGCAAACTTGACAATCTGGGGGACAGAGAGAAATTACTGCTGTCCCTACCATGCATGCTGATACATCACAACCAGGCATGAATGGGCATGTGAGCACAGACTGAGTAAGTCACTGGAGTCCAAGCACAGACACGCATGCATGCAAGCATGGATGGACAGACATGTCTCTGTACCTTCTCTCCGTTCTGTTCCAAGACTGTGACTCTCTTTTCCTTCTGCAGCTGCAGCAGCACCAGGTAGAAGGTCCTCTCGTCTGGGCAGGAGTTAGCACACAGGGTACTCAGCTCTGACAGGGCCACCACGGGGTGGGAGGAGAGGGGTGAGTTCTGGTACAGGCGATATACCTCCTCGGCCTTTTCCTACAGGGAAGGCAAAGGGTGTTCAAGGTCTTAGTCACTACTGTGGGATACAAGAAGCCTTGACCACATGACCCCACAAGGCAAGAGCCAGGGAGCACTGACCCATTCAAGTGGCAGCTTTTTAGACAGAAAAAGGATGAGGCCTAGGGAGATGGTTCAGTTGTAAAGTTCAGGAGGTAAAGTGGCTCCTGGGCTAACATGAGGACCTGAATTTGGATTCCCAGCACCTGCGTGGAAACTAGGCAGGGGGATATATGTGTCTGTAATCCCAGCACTGGTAGAGCAGAGACAGGCAGATCCCTGGAACTCATCGGCCAGCCATCCTAGCCAATCAGTGAGCTCCAAATTCAGTTGGAGACCCTGTCTCAAGAAATAAGGTAAGGGGGCTGGAGAGATGGCTCAGGAGTTAAGAACATTGGCTGCTCTTGCAGATGACCCAGATACGGTTCCCAGTACCCACTTGGTGGCTAACAACCACCTGTAACTCCAGTTCCAGAAGATCTGATGACCTTTTCTGACCTCCTCAGGCACTGCATGACACGGGGGCACTTAAATACATATAGGTAATATACTGAAACACATAAAATAAAAATAATAAACAAATTTTTTTTAAAAAAGATAAGGCTGGGCTAGAAACATGGCTCAGCACTTAAAAGCACTGGCTGTTCATGCAGAGGACCCATGGTCGATTCCCAGCACCTACATGGTGGCTAACAACTGTCTGTAACCCCAGTTCCAGAGGAATCGGATGCCTTCTTCTGACCTCTGCAAGTATTACATGATATGGGTGTACTTACATACATGCAGGCAATGCACTCATACACATAAAATAATAAATAAATAAAAGGATTTTTTAAAAAGGTAAGCTGATGAGATGGTTAGGAGGGTAAAGGTACTTGCTGCCAAGCCTGATCACTAGGACTAACATGATGGAGGTAGAAAAGTGACTCCAACAGGTTGTCCTCTGACCTTCATACACATACCACAGCACACACATGCATATATATATATATATATATATATATATATACATATACACACATGAAAAAAACAAACATAAAAAATGATGGTGGAGAACACGCCAGCGAAACATCAATCTCTGGATCCCACACACATGCTGATGCACATGAACACATACAGGAACATGTACATACACCACACACATTTCAAAAAAGGAGAAGGTTGTGTATATTTTTCAAACTCTGGAGGGAGCTGGTGACTCTGCAGAGACGATAGAGCAGAGTGCCAGCTCCATGCTTGGTGTCTACCTCAGATCGCACATTTCTGCCTCTCCCTGGCCTGTGTCTCCTCACAGGAGCCATGAGGCACAAGGGTATGCTGGAATGGCCGTGATCTAAAGCCAAGCCTCGCTTCCCGCTTAGCCTGTGACCCAGCACCTGTCAGGCTCCTGGGACCTCAGCTTCCTGTGCACAAACGTAAACCCTAGCTCACCCTAGTCTCTCCAGGTCTACTGCAGACGTGGATGTTACTACTACTATTTAAAGAGTCAAGAGAAAACTAGGTGATGAATGGAACAGGCAGGCTGGGCTAGTGAGGAGACTTAGAAACAGCTGACTAAGGGACAATGCCACTCTGCCTCAGACATGGAAATGATATCTGTAAACAAGCATTTACTGAAACATGCATGTGTGCTATGAACAGGCAGGGAAGGAAACCCAGGGATTTGGAGGGGGTGGTCTTAGAAAACAAAAGGCCAGCCGGACGTGGTGGCACACGCCTTTAATCCCAGCACTTGGGAGGCAGAGGCAGGTGGATCTCTGTGAGTTTGAGGCCAGCCTGGTCTACGTAGTGAATCCAGGACAGCTGGGGCTACAGGGAGACCCTGTCTCAAAAAGACCAAACCAAACAAAACAAAACAAAAAAAAAAACCCAAAAGTCTGTCTAGCACAATTCTAAGGGTGAAGAGTTACTACATGATGTGGATGGAGAAGAATCTTGGGATGGAGAGGCAATCCAGAGCTCAGAAGTGTGCGTTCCCATGGTGTAATTGTTCGTGGAGGGGAAGGGAGCAGGAACAAAAGCTCCTTCCCACTGTGTAAAATCTGGATCTTATTCCGTTCTTCTTCTGCAGAGGATGGACAGTCAATGGAAGTACTGCCAGGTCTGGATTGTCAGAGAACCAGTGAACAGCTCGCCAAGTATGGACTGCAGAGCTAGAGGCAGGGAGACCATTTACGCAAGAGAAGACATGGGGCTACAAGGGAGTCTCTAGGAAACAGGGAGAAGGGGTAGACTCCAGCAAAAGTTAGAGAAGACTGGCAGCCCACCGGACTGAGTAGATGACTAAAGGAGAAAGAGGCCCAGGCTGTGGCCAGGGACTCGTATACAGAAGTGCAGAAGCCTGTCTGAAAGACAAACACTCTGCTTGGGGCAAGTTGGTTTGGGACAACTGAGGGACAGCTGTGAACGTACATGGGACAATCAGAATCTTCAATTCTGAAGTTCAAAGGAAACTGCAGAACAGTAGGGAGAACCTCAAAGTCCTTGGCACACAGGACAGTCAAGATCACAAGTGTGCGTGAAAGGGTGCAAGGAAATTCACGGGGGTACGATGACAAGCTGAAGGAAGACCAATGTTTAAACAGCAAGGGGACCCACAAGAGCGACCCAGCAAGCCTGCTCGGAATCCAGCTGTGAACAAATCCAGGGGAAGGAGCAAGTAAGAAGAAGAAAGTGGTCAATGGCCTCCAAGGCAGCACAGATACGGGACTGGAGAGTTGGCTCAGCTGATCTTGCAGAGAACCTGGGTTTGATTTCCAACACACACATGGCAGCTAACAACCATCTCTAATTCCAGTTCTAGGGGATCGGACACCCTCTTCTGGGCTGCACAGGCAGCATGTGTTCTTATATGCAGACAAAACACTCATATACATTAAATAAAAAAATAATAAAAATTAAAAAATTAAAAACAATCTAGTAAGATAGAGACTACAGTTCCTTTCAGATTTGGCTGCCCCTCACAGAACAATCATCCTCAACAGCTCCCATGGCTAGTGAAACAGCCACTCAACTAGGAGATTCATAGTACACAGTATTAGTAAAAGGGATAGAAAAAAATGTGTGCCTGTGTGAGGAGAAACAGCATCTTTCCTCACCACATGTACAAAAATACTCAACAACTGAAATTTAATATTGAAAAAAAATAAAAGCACAAAGTAATTAAAACAAAATAAAAAGAAGCTGGAAATCTAGCTCAGTGGTAGAGCACCTGCCTAGCAGCACAAGGAACTGGGTTCAATCCCCAGTACAAAACAAGAGTTATCTGATTATGCTGGAGGTAAAGAATGCATTCCTGAGCCAGACTAGCAACTCAATGCTCCGAAGGACAAGCTGGGAGCTCGCGCTGCAGAAATACGAAGTCATCGCAAAGGCCAGCAAGGTGGCTCAGCAGGTAAAGGTGCCTGCTGCCGAACCTGCCCACCTGCATCAATCCCAGGGACCACATGGTGGAAAGAGACAAGTGATTTTTATCCTCTGACTTCCATGTGTGCACTGCACTGAGTACACTCACAAGCACACCAACACAGACACACAAAAACACACAAACAAATGACATCAAGAATAAAAATGAAACAACAGGTGGGGAAGCAATATTTACACATTTGAAGTTGGGGAGATGGCTCAGTGGGTATGAGCATGCGCACGAGGACCCAAGTTTGAATCCCTACCACCCACGTGAAGAGCAAGGCATGGCTGCACATGGGTAATCCAAGCACTAAGGGGGCAGACAGGAGGACTGCTGGGGTTCGCTGGCTTCCAGCCTAGCTCAGGCTCAGGGAGAGACTCTGTTTCAAGGGAATAAGGAAGAGTGATGGAGCAAGATAATGAGTGTCCTCCTCTGGCCTCCACATGTGAGTACACATGCACGAGTATATATCACTCACACATACACACACACACACACACACACACACACACACACACACACAGACACACAGAGAAAATAAAATGTACATCTTTGATGCCAAATGCATTGTAAGTACCTATCCCGATACATAAAGAACTCCTACAAGCTAAAAAAACAAAACAAAACAAAACAAAAACCCTGGCGATGTAATACAAAATAGGCAAAAGATAGAAACAGGCAATTTGCCCAAGGGCTGATGTACATGGCAATGAGACAAGGAGATGCTTCTCAGGCCTGGGGTACAGCAAGGTGGTAGAATGCCTGTCAAGCATGCACAAAGCTCAGGGTTTGATCTCCTGACTGTCTACAAGTGTGCCAGCTGCTGCACTTGGCTTTCTATGTGGGTGTCCAGGGATCCAAACTCTGGTCCTAATGCTTACGCAGCAAGCACCTTAACAACTGGGCCATCTCCCCAACCCAATTGGGCAATTACTTTTGTTAAAAATGTAAAAGGCACAGAAATACACATATATGTGTACAGAGCTATCATAAATGGAAAAATGAAGAAATTGTAATATCTTAAAAGTCCATTTATGGGACAACTGTTGTGTAAATATTACTGCATAACCATCAAAAAGAATGCAATGGATCTATAGGAGAGATGCTCCTGACATATTAGAGCAGAAATAAAACACTCAATATGAAGCAATTTTATTTCCAAAAACAACAGAGTAGATGTATATAAATATATGTCTATTCACTCATCTTTCAATAAATAATTATTGATTACTATTATTAGGCACAGTTCCCAGGGTCCTGAGTTATGGAATCCTCCCTAAGAGTCAGAAAATAAGAAAGGAGCTGGGTGAGGTGGCGCAAGCCTTTAATCCCAGCACTTGGGAAGCAGAGGCAGGCGGATCTCTAAGAGTTCAAGGCCAGCCTGGTCTACACAGCGAGTTCCAGGCTAGCTGGGGCTACAAAGACCAAAAAAGAAAATAAACAAGTAAACATGAAGGCTTTTTCAGTCAATCCTAAATGCTAACAAGAAAATAAAATGGGTCTAGAGAGATGGCTCAGCAGGTAAAAGTGCTCACTGCACAAACTTGATGGCCTGAGTTTGGTGCCAGGA